AAACACAGACACACCCCTTACATCACCTGCGCTATCCTGGTATGTAAACTGGCCTGGCAACATAAATGATGTTGTTATTAATATGTCAGCGTACTTCATCCTATAATTTAATTTGATATATGTGGATGATTTCTCATCCTCATCCAGTGTTTTGTTTACAATGTAGTAACAAAAAACAAAAAGCTTCTTGTTTAACCAGTTGACATCCGCGGTGTTAAACCCACTTCCCATCCAGGCCATTTTTCAGTATTCAGCGCTGCGGTACTTTAACTGACATTTATTCCGTCATGCAGCGCTGTACTGAAATGAATTTTATACCCTTTTTTGGGGACAGATAGAGCTTTCTTTTGGTGGTATTTATTCACCACTGGGGGTTTTATTTTTTTACTATATTAAGGAAAAATTACCGAAATTTAAAAAAAAAAACAGTTTCCCCTATATTAAATGATAAAACATTTATTATTACCCAATTTTTTGGTAAAATATAAAAGATGGGGTCACGTCGGGTAAAAAGAAAGTTCACACCATATGCAGTTGTGGTGCAGTCCCTTTATTTTGACTGCTGCAGTCAAAATACATCACAATGCTTTCCTATGGGCTTTCGTCAGAAGATGGCCAAGTGGAGGGAGATTTGTGAAAAGTTGACCCCTGATTTTGGTGCGATGAACAGGGTACAGAAACAGCAATGTGGTGAGTCCACTTTTGCTCAAACATATAAAGAAAGCATGACTGAGCTCCCAAACAAACAAAACAAGCGTAGGAAATGCTCTGACAGGAAAAGGAAGTGCCCTACATGCCTAATTAGCATTTTCTAGTGCAGAACAAAAAACGCATTGCAAACACATCAAAACGGATCGCAGTGCAACTGCGCAGACGCACGCAGTTGTGATGCAGTTTCTGGTGTGAACTAAGCCTTAATACTGTTAAACAAAACAAACCAAAAAAAAAACACCTTACCTTTATTGCTGAAGTGACAGTGCTGCCTTGGGTGCTGCTGTCAATCACCTCACTTGGAGCAGAGGGCAGAGGCAGGTTTTCTATGTTTCTTGTTATCTCGGGTTGCCTGTGTGTGTGGGTCAGTGCAGGCAGAATCAGCGCATCGACTTGTATTCCGATCAAAGGAGCGCGCAAAAGAGGGTGGCTCCGACAGGGCTTCATGAGAGGGAAAGGAGCCACCCTAAAACCAGATGAAAGGACCAGCTGATTCTGTAGGAAACAAAGTTTACAGCATCAAGGAGCTGCAACAATACTAAGTGACATCCTCAGCATGCAAAAAAGCTTAAAAAAAAATAAAAATTAATTTTACCATTCATTTCAAGACAAATGATGACGGAAGTGCTGGCTGTTACTTTAAGCAAGCTGCAAACAGGCTTCAGCAGGCCTCCAACATTTTTAAGTAGTGCCAAAGCTTACTGGTGTTAACAGCCTGTTTAAGGTGAAAGCCGCCACTTTCGTTATAATCCGTGTTTAACCCCTTCGTGACTGACGACGTACAGTGTACGTCGCCAACAAGCTTTAGCTAAAGGATGCTTTAAAGGCTTTAACCCTTTCGCTGCCAGACCCTGCGCTCCACTTTTTACCTCGGCTGGCCAGACAATTTTTGCATTTGTTTTTACTTTTTTCAACTGCAGCTTTCAGAGTCTGTAAAAAACTTTGCTAACATTAATGTACAGTATATATATACAGCTCATGCCAAAATAATCATTACGGTCCCGACACCACCATATACATGTCCACAGATTTACAATCAATACTGTCCTGACACCATCATAAACATGTCCACAGATATACAATCAATACTGTCCTGACACTGTCATAAACATGTCCATACTCATTACAATGAGTATTAGAATCACTGATTCACAGTATAATGTTACTTAAGCTTCCGACTCAAGACTACACTGGACTCAGCAATACAGATCTTTGACCAAAACATCTTACAGATGTCCATAGAGATGCATATTTTGAGAATCCAACACACCGTGCAGCAAATGTTCAAGGACATGCAATGTAATACCGATTTTACTATTAAGGATGCACCTATAACGGTATTGGTGCCGATATGGGGCATTTTCACGAGAAAATGTGAACTGTGGCACCTGTTTACATTGCCACCGGAAAATCTCCTGTGGAACAACACCGCACGCGACCTCTGGTGAGACCCCGCACAGCTTACCCGAGATCCTCCGCTGGAAACATCAGGTCAGAACCCGAGAGCAGCACGGAGCATGTAGCTTCATATTATTCTGCATTGATGTATAATGCATTGCTGGGATTTTTAAGTTTTTATAGGCGGTTGCCATTTGGCATTGGTGTATAATGTATGACTGGGATTTACAGTCCCCTCAAGCTGATGGTATGTTCTGCATTGCTGTATAATGTATTGCTGGGATGTGTAGTCCTTTATAGCTGGTGGTGTTCTGCATTGCAGTATAATGTATTGCTGGGATGTGTAGTCCTTTATAGCTGGTGGTATTCTGCATTGCAGTATAATGTATTGCTGAGATTTGTAATCCCTCTACAGTTTGGAGTCAGTGGCAGAACTACCAGGGACTTCAGCGTTCTCAGCTGGGACCTGGCTCTGGCGCTTCACCACTGTCCTAAATAATAAGTCTTTATTATTTTAGAAAAACTGTCACGACACTAAAAAAAGAAAAGCAAATCGGTAATTGGCATCGGCGAGTACTTGAAGAAAAGTAGTGGGTGCAGGCGGCGTGGAGGAGGAAGACATTTTCGGCCAGCACTGTAAACAGGCACCACCATTCACAGGAAGGCCCCCAGGACCTTGCTGGTGACCTCAGCAGTCTTCCTGTGAAGTGTGGCCCCTGTTTAAAGCATCAGCTTATGTTACAAAGTTTAAAGCGCCAATATCGGCGCATTGTATTGCTGCATTTTTATGAGTACAAGCACTCGTAAAAATTGCTGGCATTGGTGCATCCCTATGTTGAATGCATGCACATTTTACTAATATAACCACATATTGATACATTTGTTTTGTACTACTTATTAAACCATACAATCAGACTTATAAATTAAATACTGAATGTATGATTTATCAAGTAGTACAGTACATGGATATAGTAGTAAAATCTGTACTGTATTTACACTGGATATCTCTGAACACTTGCTGCAAGGTGTATTGAATACATCTTGCAGCAAGTGTTCAGTGACATGCAGTGTAAATGTAGTACAAACTCTTTTCAGTCCCCAGCATTCATGCAGTTGCTGAAATCTACCTCCTCCTATCTCGTGCTCTGCGCCTCCATCTCCTCGGTGCCTGCTGGAACTATGGGGCAGGCATTGGGTAGATCACTCCGCAAGAGGCATACAAAAATGAGCGTGGCCGAAAACGCGCTCTGGGCCGCACCACCTCCACCATTACAGGATGTTTTTGGTGTACCCCCAGTATACCTCCATGTACTTCAAGGAGTACACGTACCCTAGGTTGGGAATCGCTGTTCTATAGAATGCTGAAGGACCTGGGGCTCCCTAGCGGTGGAAATGTTGTACGGCTACAGCAGCCGTGTACAAGAGTCCTACCAGAATGAAAGGGAGCAAACATGATAGGTTCATTATCAGGGATTACATATACTTTAATGCTAAACTCCAGATACTTACTCGGCCCAATGTAAGTATGAATATGCCATACCTGATCGCCTACTGGGCTGGCCACAATTTTTCCAGGTACCGGGTTACGCAGCCTGCCCTGTGCTCTTGCACACAGGGGGTCGCTCACTCAGCACAGAGACCATTCACAGGACACCTAGTATTTTTATCAATGAATACAAGAGGCTTTCTCTGATGGGATGAGGGGTAGTGATGTCACAATCTACTACAGTGCTAATACTAATTGGAGAACTTGATACTGCTCTTGGGTAGCTGGACGGGTGCACTGACAGGAATTGAAGAACTCGATGAGGATTCTGACACTGCTGCAGCTCGTGCACACGAACCAGCGCCATATCATCGAAATCTCCTACTGGCAAGTTACTGGACGTGACGAGTTGGATATTTCGATAGAACATCTGCTTTTTATTTTTTTGCATACCTTATTTTTCTTTTCCTCCCATTCTTCTGGCAGTGACTATTTTTACTAAGGGCAGATTAATCCATCTCCCTTTACTTCCTGGAACTCTGACACATGTGACCATGAACATCATCTCAGGGGAAGAATATGCCTTTCCCTGAGATCTCATGAGATTACAGGTGAGATTTTCCTGCAATGTTCTGCTGATGTAACCTTGCCAGGATGCAATGCTTGGGCAGATTACATAATTTGTGCCAAAGTGGACCAGGAAGTAGATGAACTCTATTTGGAAGTAAACGAAAAGCATGTTTGTTTAGCTGATGAATGTAAAATGATTTGATATCAGCATGTAGCAATGCTGATGAGATTTTTAGTGAGGGGGTGGGGGTAAACAAGTGCTTGTTTTTGCCCAGGGAGTGGAGTGAAGCAGATCTACTTACCTGATCCCTGCTCCTTGAGCGTTCAGTGCTCTGCCCTTCTCTCACTCCACTCCAGTATGTCTCTGTGTCCTCATGTCTAATACAGATCTATGGAACCTGTAATAAACGGACCGCCACATTAGCGCAGGGGAGAAGGGGCTGTGGGGACCGGTCTACCAGCCCTGAGAGTGCAGGGATTAGATAAGTAAACCTGCTTTACTCCAGCCCCTATGCATAAACGAGCATTGAATGGCAGTGCAGGAGTAGCCCAAAGCCACTGGTACTTTATTTGTTTACCCCCAGACAGGTGGACTGCAGAGTGTCATCCCCATCCTGCTACCTAGAAAGTGACTGGCCTGGAACCAGCATGTACTCAGCGTTGTCAGCCTGGTTCCAGGAAGCCAGGACCGACACAACAGAACTGGACCTTTGCACCCCAGGCGGCCTCCATATTCCCTACCCTGTGCACACATACACACACCTGCTTACAACTTCCAGGGCGCACCTACGCTCCGATGGACACAACGCTCTGCATGTACCCGCCCGGTCTCGGCAAGGAACGCGCACGTCGCGTCATGACGTCAGAGCACGTAGTGCCAAGCCCATAGCAGCGGCGGAGAGTCGCGGAGCTATTGCCATCATCATAATCATCATCTGAGTCGGCGGTTGGTGAGCGGAGCCATGATCTACTTACCGCTTGTGCTATGCCTGCTGTGCTCGGGCTGGGGCGCCTCTTTCTATCTCCCCGGCCTGGCTCCTGTCAGCTTCTGTGAGAAGGGGAGTGAGAAGGAGAACTGCAAGGTGAGATCACATCCCGGCATCTGAGAACTCTGACAGTGACACTGACTGCGGGGAGGGGGAGATCACCGTCTGACCACACACTATGTCATTATGAGGACCTACCTAATGTATCTGCCTAATCTGTATACAGGCCATTGTACTACATAGGTGTAAATCAGAAGCAGGTTGTACAATCCGATTGTAGCATGTGGGGTGAGCTTAGGAAGGGCACAGATCAGATCGGTAAGGACGAGGACACCCCGGAAGTTAGGGCAGGACTTGAGTTTCACTCTTTTATTGATAGAACATTCTTTTTGATTAGAGATGGGCTTTCAAAGTGTATGTGTGCCCAAAGCTTTTTTTTATTTTCAGCAATATAGGAAAGGGTTAAAACCCCCATCAGGTGGTTCTTCTTCTGTCTGTGTACTATTGGGCGACTTTACCTTCACTTCCTGTCCTAGGGAAAGGAAAAATCTAGCCTTGCAGTGGGGCTAGGCTTGCACCGTGAGGGTTAAATGCTCGTCTTTGCCGCGGGTACATATAAAAGGACTTTACATACTTTAACCCGTGTTCCTTCACCCGCCTTCTATGTGACACGGTCCCTTAAGCTTCTTGTCACAGGTGCTCCTGTGGTCATCACTTCAATGTACAACCAATAGTCCTGTGTTGTGAGGACGCTGATCCATGGCCCAAAGAGACAAGCGCTGGCTGCCAAAGGAGGGTAAGGTATAGAGGTGCACCGAAATGAAAACAAAAGCAAAATGAAAAAAAATGTCAGGCCGAAACCGATGTTTTTTTTTTCTTACTTTATCTATTATTATTTTTTACTTTACCTTTTAGGGGCTTCGGGGAAATATTGGAGGTCTGAACAGATTCCCTGATATGTACCTTTTTAAAATAGAAAAAGAGATTGAGGACACAAAGTCCTCAATCTCTTTTTCTGCATCCCCTGTTATCAATGAACAGGAATCCTCTATACAGAGTGTTCCTGTTTATTCATAACATGAGAACATTGTGTCACAATAACCACATTGTGTGTCAATATAACCACAATCATGAATGAACAGGAGGTGATGTAGATCAGCGTTTTTCAACCACTGTGCCAGCCCGCTCTCCTTCCTAACAACTGTCACAGGAGGCTGAGCGAGCGATGCGGGGAGCTCGATATGACAGCTGACTCCTCCCCTGTACTACCGGCCGGCCTCCTGTGACAGCGCTGGCTGTCTTCACCCACACTGCCGCTCTCCCGATCTGTCGTGAGGAGGCTGAGCGGTGCAGGGAGGAGAGACGCCGGCCGCTCACAGCGCTCTCCTCCCGCAGCGCTCGGCCTGCTTGGACACAGAGCAGTGCCCAGTGTGGAGGAGAGAAATCACAGATGCACCGCTATTTCGGCCAAAAAATGATTCTTTCGACATTTTGCTGAAAGTGCCATTTTCGGCCGATGTGTTTCGGTGGCCGAAATTTCGGTGCATCCCTAGTAAGGCAAGTAAAAGTACTTATCATGGGTACCCTAGCCAAGAATGACCATTTAACCCTTGCATTACAAGGGGCCTTGAAAGGCTAGATTTTTCCTTTACATGCAGTTAAACTTTAAAGTAGAACTGAAGCCAAAACATTTTTGTTTTGTTTTGGATCGAATAAGGGAGGGCTATAAACCCTGCCATCTTCTCTTTCTTTTTTTTTGCAATCTGGGTCCCATTGGGGAGATTTCCCTTCACTTCCTGTTAGATAGCCACTACAACATGTGAAAGGAAATCCCTGGTGGTCAGCAGAATCAGTGTCCCCATTAGAAGATTTCCCATCTATTCCATTTTTTTATGACAATCCAAAATTTGGAGTTTTGTTTTCCTTTTAGTGATAACGGTCACCAGGACAAATAAAGGGAGAAACTCCCTAACGGGGGCACAGACAGCAATAAAAACCTGTATGACAGACAGCAACAGGGTGCAATAAAAACCTGTATGACAGACAGCAACAGGGTGCACTAGCCTCGGGACCCAGTCACACTGCAACATGGTGCACTACCCTCGGGGCCCAGTCACACTGCAACATGGTGCACTACCCTCAGGGTCCATTCACACTGCAACACGGTGCACTGCCCTCAGAGTCCATTCACACTGCAACACGGAGCACTACCCTCAGGGTCCATTCACACTGCAACACGGTGCACTGCCCTCAGGGTCCATTCACACTGCAACACGGTGCACTGCCCTCAGGGTCCATTCACACTGCAACACGGAGCACTGCCCTCAGGGTCCATTCACACTGCAACACGGTGCACTGCCCTCTGGATCCATTCACACTGCAACACGGTGCACTGCCCTCTGGATCCATTCACACTGCAACATGGCACACTGCCCTCAGGGTCCATTCACTCTACAACACGGTGCACTGCTCTCAGGGTCCATTCACAGTGCAACGTGGTGCACTACAACACATGTGTTTTCCTGTGTTCTGGTATGTTGTGTGTTACAGCAGTGCTATTCCAAATAAATGACACCGCCGCGCACCAACGCACTGTGGTGATGCGTGCATTTTACCACTCCTTACCACAACACACGTGTAAACAGGCCCTTAACTGCAGACCCCTAAACAACATACTATGAAGAGTACTGGTGGCCATATAGTAAGTGTGATGGTCAGGTGTACACAAACGTTTGGCCGTGCAATGTACCGGTCCTGCTGTATTTCATTCTGTTATTGTTAAGCTTCCCACACACTTTACAATCTAATTGTACAATCTCCTTTAGCTCTACCAACAACCATGTAGTGAAAGGATCCCCCCTAATTGGATAGATGAGACCGGTCCTTACATGGATTTGGTATCTATTGATTGTAAGGTGTATGGTGACCTTTACTGTGAATAAGAAATAGGTATGTCACGTTGGAGTGGAATCATCTGGAACTTGGCGCCTAGAATGGGGTTGGCACACATGGAGACTAATATACTACGGATCAATGTAACGTGACATACATGAGCAGAACGTTTTACACAAGCAGGAACCTATAAGTCAGTGAAATGTCTTCAGATGACTCAAGAACGGTTTAGATAACACGACTGATAGGACAGATATGTCTTTTCTTCAGTACTTTTATCACAACTGCTTGTAGATAAGGTTTCTTTTTCCTTTTAATTTGCTGGCCTGACGCATAACAGCAGCTCCATACAAGTTTTTGATCATTGAAATATTTACATGATGCAAAAGTACACCTGTGATATGATTTGTGTTCTTATCCTATCAATGAACTATTCATTGTATGCAAAGGTAAAAAATAACATTGCTGAGAGGCAGAGATTCTTGGCAGAAGACCAGCAAAGTCTATCTTGGCAAAAAACGTCTTCCTCTTTCCTTTAGCAATTTACAAACCACTGCTCGCTCAGCTCCTGGCTTCTCCCTGCAGAGAGCGCTGACTGTTCCTTCTCTGTTCCTCCACCGCTGACTGGAGGGGCACACAGAGGAGGGGGCGGGCACAGCTGGCTCTAGAGAGGCAGTGCCAGCTGTCAATCAGGGAGCGGGATGGATCCCCACAATATTGTCCGGATATTTCCTGTCTGCAGCGCAGCTCAACACTGTCAGCACATAGTGGGCAGTAACCCACTATATGCTAATGTTTGGGTCACAGGAGGACATATTAAATGTTCTCCTGTGACCCAAAAGAAAACAAATGCCAAAAAAGGTTTGGCCATAGTTCTTTTAAAATAGGTTATACACTATTTTTTCCTTCAACCTGCAGGATGAGCGAAAAAATATAACCGATTCCTCCATCCATGCTAAACAGATAGACACATCTCCTGCTGTGAGCTTTGTATTCTGACAGCGGTGTCGGCTGCTGTCAGAATACCTGAACGATGCAGGCAGCTGATTGGCTGCAAGCATTGTCCGGCCAAATATTTTCCACCATGTTGCTTCGGCAAAGTTGATCTAATGATCGACTTCTGTCTAAGGAATCAGGTCACCAACGGAGCGAATTTAGGCCGATTAAGCTGGAATGTTCTCCTTGTGCACCCATCTTAAGTCCTCATTGGAGAGAGTCTTCTCACTTCTTCTCCTGGAGATACCATAAGAAGTGAAATCTCTTCAACTGAGATTCAGACTGCAGTAACTTATGCCCAAAACTTGAAATTCTAATTTAGGAAATGTGCTGATACAGCAGCCAATCATCTGGCTTCAGATGGATGGTGCACACGCTGTTTAGGTAACCAGCAGCCCCTGAAGCAGCGTTTGCTGAATCCAATAATCTGCAGCGGGGGTTCTGCCATTCACACGGTTTAGCAAAGATGGGGGAGATTCAGTTGTTGGCGTGTTAACAGGTTGCTGTGTGTTTGTTTTTTGGGGGGTTTTATTTTTATACAATTAGTAAAATTGGCCATAAATGTATAGGCGGATTGCAAAATAAACGCTCAATTCCTAAATGCACGCTAAGCAGCGTGAATTGAGGAATCTCCACTGATGCTATTTTATTAAGACAGCCTGCACCTGTGGCTGTCAGAATACCCGGAGAATGACTGAAGCTGTGTAGATGTAGTTACTGTTCAGACCAACAATTTTCTGCCCAGCTCCTTCAATTTTTTTTAACTGAAGTTTGCCAAGCTGGGTGATAGTGGCAGGGTCACCCATGGTGAGAATTTCTCCTGATTCATGGTAATTGAATGAATTTATGACATTGTATGGACAGCTTTAGCCTCTCCTTCGTATTGTTTTTCGTATTGTTTTTCTAGACCTATCAGTTTGTATTACTGTGATTTTTAGATTTTTTTTCTCTAACCATGATATCTTATTGCAGTCAGAAATTCAACTTTTCGTAAACAGACTGGACTCTGTAGAATCAGTTCTGCCATATGATTATGACAGGTAAGCAACAGAACTCTTCTTCATCAGTAACTTATAGTAAAGGTGTTACTGTGTATATAAGTGTATTTGTACATTCATATGTTTCCTATAATAACAAATTTATTGGGGGGGGGGATTGATCAAATCTGGAACAGATCGAATCTGGAGCAGTTGCCCATGACAACCAATCAGCATCACTCTTCAGTTTAATCAGGTAACATTTGAAAAAGAGAAGCTGATCCAGATTTTGTCTGCTCCAGTTTTGATAAATTCCCCTAATTGTGTTTAAAGAGCTCCCTGTCCCCATCTCTGGGTTTTGTAGTCCAGGAGAAGTTAAAATGAAACCACCCTCAAGTGCTTTCTGACATCTAGCGCCGCCCCTCTTCCAGGTTGGCTGATCAAAAAAAAAATGGTCTGGAGTCCCGTCTGGGTCTGTCCCCTCGCCGCGGACGGGGCCCACGAGGGGGGGGGGGGGGGGGGGATTCAATAAAGCTTGTATGACCCTTTTCTGGCAGTATGGTTCCTTTCAAACAACCTGCGCCTTATTCATAAAAGCCTTGCAACAGTTTTGGTTGCATTTCTGACATGTGCAACACATTCAGGTAGTTCTTATTACCACCACTTTAAGACACAGTTGCTGTGTCTGTGACCAATACAAAAAGAATCACTGACAGTTTACAGATTTGGAAATTAAAGTGGTTATAAAGGCAATTATGAAAGGAAAGCCCTGCTGCTTTTAGTGCCCATCCACCATGGGCGTTTTATGGCACGATTTCTGCACCGATATCGCGCAAATTTGCCACGCGTTATCACGACAAGTCACTGTCCAATGATATTCAATGTAGCTGTTCTATTGAATAGCTCATCGCTGTCGCAAGACCCTTTTCCCCCGTGGATGTCGCACGTTTTTTTCTTTTTTTGCATGCAGCCCGACGGTGAAGGTCACGCGATCCTCGCTAAAACGTTGCCCCGAACAGTCGCGCGGATCCGCTTGTGACGGATGTTGCTTAGTGTGAATGGGGCCTTAGTCTTCTTGTGTTAGTATGCACAGCATATTAGCAAATTATGGCAGACTTACCTGCCAAAGCCATCACCTCCAGCACTGCACTTCTCTCTCTCACCAGCCCTTTCGTCTTCTCGCTGGTCTTTTTACGGGTTTTGAGAGTTTGGCCGCTTGATTAGCTCGGCCCCAATGATGCAAATCCAACGCATGTGCACGGGATTATGTTGGGTCTGTATGTTGAGCTGCATATACACAGCTTAGGGTACATAAAAAGGTCTCTTCTGTCATAAACTACCATCAGCAATTTTGTTTTGGGACGTTTTACTTCCACTTTAAGAACAGGTCTGATATGGCATACAGAGAGACGCCAGTGGTCAGAGTGGGACATGTATGTGCTGGGAAGTTGAGATGAATGTGATCATTGGTTGATAAGACACCAGGCTACTGGCATCCTATCAATCAATTACGCATGCGGAATCCTGTTCAGCTGGTGGCCAGGAGGTTCCCCAGCTGGTAGCTGAATGTAAGCAAAGGGGCTGGGGATGCAGACTAGCATCACTACGCAAAACATATACAATAGTAGGAGGTGGACCTGATCGGGAACTAGTTTCTTAGAGCTCTCCATTAGGCTCCGCCCACCCACAGCATTGTTGGTAGTCAAGACATCGGTATTGTTTTTCTGGTAAAGAAATCAGTTTGGATGTGAAGAGAAGGGTCAGGGCTCTTAAGTTCATTAGGCGGGGCTGACAACGCTGGTTAGGATTTCAGTGCAGCAAAGCCTCGGGTGTTGTCAGGTCAAACGGGAAGTTAGCAGTGCAGTGTATTTCTAGCAGAATCACAGCGATTTTCTGTAATTACAGACTTTTTAAGGGGATAAAACAAAGGGCCGTGTGCGCTAAATATATGTGTTGGGTTTTTTGTTTTTCCTCCCCCCTCATATTTTGCCCTAATTTACACTTTTTACCTTGGAATGATATTTGTATGCTTTTCTTTTACACAGCTTTGACTTCTGCAAGGATAAAAATGAGAAACATCCTTCTGAAAACCTTGGACAAGTCCTTTTTGGAGAAAGAATTGCATCATCACCATATATAGTATATAATACTTCCTGATATTGTTGTTAATGTGTATTTTTGTCTGTTTTGTGGCTGAATGCAGTCTGTTTTCATGCAAAATAAACCTAAGGCCAGTTTATTTAAGAACTAATATGAAGGATCGGTAGGAGGCATGTCCTCCTACCCACCTTGTCATGAGTTCTATTATTACTGTAATGTCTTTCTTATAAAGTGCTGCGCAAACTGTTGGCGCATATAAATCCTGTATAATGTAATAACAACAACAACAACTTAAAACTGGCCGATTTTTATACTTGACATAAATGTATTTGTTAAAACGTTGCTGTAATAGTTTTTAGACTTAAACTTTATCACTTTCCTTTTGTCTCCAGTTTCACTTTAATAAGAATGAAAGCTGTGCGCTGGTTTGTAAAACTGAATACGATGCAAACCTAAAAGCTTCTGACCTTGACTTCATTAAAAAGGGCATCCAGTTTAACTATCAGCATCACTGGTGAGTAGAAGTATCTGTCATCCATCCATATGGCTTATTTTGTTTTTCCTATAAAAATGTCAACATTCGCCTCTAGTTGAGGAGAGCTTTTTTCCAGATTTCTGCATTACATATTAGTGGGACAGTCCCATTAAAGGCCTATTAACCCTTTCGCTGCCAAGGACGTATGGCATACGGACCTACAAAAGTGCTTCCAGCACCTTTGTTGCAGCTCACCTAAAGGCGAAGTAACACGCTATCCTGCACTGTGCTGGAAACATGGTGCATGTCTGATTTTAGGTCCTTGCATTAAGGCAGCCCATTCAAATGAATGGAATGCCTTAATGCAGCGCACTTAAAGTAGTATTAAAGGAGAACTATGAGGTGAGTGCTTTTCACTCATCCTCATAGTTCTATCTACCCCAGTATCCCCCAGTCTCTTACACACTTACCCGTCAGCTGCGCTCGTCCGCGCCGCCGCTCCGAAGAGATCCTCCGTTTCCCGAACTTCGGGGTTGAAGGAGAAGGATACTGATGGCATAGGCTCCTTCTGCCATCAATCAAAGAGGGAAGGGGCGTGGCTATGGACGCACACAGCCACTGCGGAAATGAGCGGGGACGAGCACGCACGGGTGCCTCCATTAGAACGATGGTGGCACCCGTGCAGGGGGCGGGGGGAAGTGCGCTGCGGGGAGCCACTAGAAAATGAGGAATTAGGCAATTTTAAGGAATAAAAGCAACAGCCTCCAGCAGAGGAGGGTCTCCTTAAAGGAGAAATAAAATAAAAAAAATTAGGCTTTAATATCACTTTAAGACCCCTTTAGATCTATACGGTCTGAAGACTAAATTGGATCAGGATTCTGTGGGCGACAAAGGTGACCACACACCTTGCGATAATTGTACAATAATCGCGGGAAATCCCGCGATGGTACGATTATCGTAAGGTGTGTGGAAGCTGTGCGACCTCTACTACCTTAAGGTCGCACGACTTTTTATCTTACGAACATGTTCGATAAACCCGCTGAGAATTGTATGGCTTTCGGCGGGTGTGCGATCATAGCAAGTACGATCTGCCTGTCCAGGATAGGCAGATCGTACATTTTTAAAATTACCTTACAACCATCGCAAGACAAAGGTCTTGCGATGGTTGTAAGGTATGTGCCCAGCCTTAGTATTTTGGCACAATTGTAATTACAGTATATTTGAATGACATTGTGCACAGGTGTGTGAGTGCTTGGACTCTCAGCAGATAATCTCTGTAGATATAAAAACTGCAGTAGACTCGGAAATGACTTACCGACCCCTTACCGACTGATGATGGGATTATTCCGTCAATTAAAGACCGGTGACTAAATAATCCCGCCATGCTGTAAAATGAGTGCTGGCCCGTATAGGACCCTCATTAAGCTAATGGTGTTGCAGGGTCCCTCGATATCACTGTGATAGCTTGTCGCAGTGATCAGCGTGCTGTGACAGCCACTCAGCTGGCCTGCAGCTCATTGTGCTGTGGAGCTCCGAGCTGTTTCAGTATATTACAAAACTGATACTATATTCCTTGGAGATATATTTAGTATCTCCTCAGAATACTTGGTATCCAAAGTCTCTGTAAATAAAAAAAATTAACCCTTTAGTGTCCCCTAGTTTAAAAAAAAAATGTAAATAGTTTTTAACATATTCTTAAAATGCGTTTAATGAAAAAATGATGTGGAAATATAGTGCCGAGGAGGCTGTTATATATCGGAGACAAACATACCACATTCTAAAATTGTTCCACACTATAATTGTATTTCACTGTATTTTTGTGACCTATAAGGGCCCGTATACACCAGATGCAGTGCGTTCCGGCCCGATTCTGGCCAGAACGCACTGCCTCGCATTGTGGCTGGCTCACTTTTTAGTGGGGCAGGAGGGGGCGTGATGGGCCCCTGAAGTGAATGGCACCGTAGCCACACCCTCCGGCCGCAATGCGATCGGCCGCACGGGAGTGCAAGGTACAATGACTGTGGTCTGGTCCGGTCCGGTGCGATCAAAATGCTGCAAGCACTATTTTGACACATTGCATCTGGTGTGAACGGGCCCTAACTCCCAAAATAAACTGAAATCCCAGTAAAATGATCTCCCCTATAAATCAGGACAAATAAAATAATTTTATTATGAATTACTTTGCCAGCTATTCTAATTATGTACACATATTTGGGAAAACTGTGGACATTTTTTTTTTTTTATTTATTTAAAAAAAAAAAAATTATATATGCATATGTCGCATCAAATTAAAGTCCATTTTGTCCTTTAAAAACATTATATAATATGTGTAGGTGCAATGAATGAGGAAGATGGAAATTATGGTTAAACTACCACATAGCAAAAAATGGCAAAATCGCTCCGGTCCTCGATAACATTTTCTGAAGCTATGTACTAAGGGGTTAATCTGTAAGTGTTTGCAGATCATGTGATCTCCATGATGATCAATCATGGTGATCAAAAGAAAGTTTTGTGCTCCGCAAAAACTTTCCTGTTACATTTTAGCAGCTACTGTTTGCTGCTTTTATCAGGGAGGAGAGAAGGAGGCCTCAGTGACGGGACACAGGTGTATGTAAACTCTTATCATTGAATGTCTCTTCTTTTGCTTCTGGTCTCTTAAATATACCATTAAAATGTTTTGTTATATCTGCTCAAAAAGTGCAAAAATGACCCTTTGATCGTGCCACAAATCTTGTAAGCTGGTGACTTCCTGTGCTTTCTGTCTGCATTCTTACCACTTGCATTGTTCTCCGCTATCTCTGTGGACTACAAAGCACCTATGTTTATGAGGGTAAGGTGTTCTGTAGTCCTATCCTGATTGGAATGACAATGCTACTCCTCCATAGATACCATAGGTACAGTGATTAAGTGTTGTCACTCTGGAACAGGAAGTGTTAGTGGCAGAATGACCAGGGGAAAATGAAGGAGAAAAAAGCCTAAAAAAATCAATGCAACAACCACATCTAAAGACTGGTAAGCTGTAATATATTACATTTTTGTTTTTTAAATAAGACCTTTTAGATGCTTCCAAGGGACACTGATACACCGGCAGTATTTTCCATGTTATGGCTAATCTGAATGCTTTTCATATTCCTAGGATTATTGATAATATGCCAGTGACTTGGTGTTATGATGTGGAGGATGGTCAGAAATTCTGCAGTCCCGGGTTCCCTATTGGGTGTGCTATTACTTCAGATGGCAGAGTGAAGGATGCCTGTGTGATCAATGTAAGTTTGTTACCATCAAGTGCTGAAAGAATGTGTGAAAGTAAGTTATAATGTGGTTTCAGCGAGCACATTATTGCACTGTGTACCTTTTTTAAAGAAGAACTCCAGGAAACATTATTAACCCTTGCAGTGGGGCTACCACGTACTGCAAAGGTTAACTGCTCGTTATGGTCTAGGGAGGAAAATAACAAAGTTCTACTCAACTGGATCCTTGGAGCCGGCTTGCTCTTAGACCAGTCCCTGGAGTCTCACTCTCCCTCTGCGGAGAGTGACGAGACAGGCTGAAGGGAGCCCTGTTGCCGGCTGGCTTGGGGGAGTCTGGTGAGATTAACTTTATTTTCCTCCCTAGGCCAAAACGAGCACTTAACCCTTGCAGTGTGGGGGTAGCCTCACCAAGTGTTAATAATTTCACCTGGAGTTCTCCTTTAATATATATTCATAAGTCTCTTATATTTTTACATGCTTTCTCTGTCATATTTACAATTTTTTTGTTTTGATGGGTGTGTACTGTATATCCTTCCTCTAGGGGCCATCTTTTTATTGCAGTCATTTAGCCTCTGTTTAACAGCCTCTGTTTTTAATCAAATCCATTCTGAGCTACATAGTGCATCCTTTATTTATCAGGCAGATATGTCTGACGACTTGCATTGAGAGAGTGAAACTGTGTGCAAAACCATGCATCGCTACTGAGCAGGAGGCAGAGCCTGCATATGAAATGAGGAAATATTGCTGCCCGTGTACGCACAAATTACAAACTTCAGATGGAAACCAGGTTTTGGCATTAAAACATGTTGGTGACATTTACATTAATGTTGATCTCTATCCCTACCTTCAGTCCTGCACGGTTGTAGTACTTTTGACACTAGGTGAATATATATTCCATTCTGGAATTCCTCTTTCAATGCTGCAACAACATAATGTATAATCAAAATGTGTTCTTTTATAGTGCCAGCAGAATTAACCCCTTGACGACCAGCTACATAGTTACCTAGTATTTGAGGTTGAATAAAGACACAGGTCTACTGCTTCTATGGGCCGGTGAACGCGTGCCCCCGCCCGACACCACCGCCATGTTTCCTGGGCTCCGTTGCCCCTCCTACGGGCCCGGGACCGGCTTCTTTGGTGTCGGTGGGGAGCTGGGGAGGAGATGGGCGAACCTCCGTTCGTTGATTCCCCTCCCGGTTCTATGGGACCGGGAGCGATGCAGAGTGCATCACTTCCGGTCCCTGGGCTGTCAGTTCTGGGCTTCTGAAGCTATTGTAGTGCGATCTGCGCTTCATTAACTTATTTTAAGTGTAAAGGTGACACTGGGGGTCTTTTGGACCCCCAGCATCACCTTAAGAGTACCTGTCACTACCATCTGTTATTACATTATGTGTGATAGCAATTATACCTATGTGATAGCAATTAAAGTAAAGTGAAAAAAATAACAGTTTTAAAAATTAACATTAAATAAATTAAATGTAAAAATAATGTTAAAAAATATTTTTAAAGTTCCCCACAAGCACGCACATCTACACATAAACACGCGTCGGGTGTGCCTACGTATGAAAACAGCGAACGTGCTACACGTTTGGTATCGCCGTGCACGCCGGAGTGAGAGCAATAATTCTAGGGCCAGCATTTTTGGGTATCTCTAAACCGATGACCTGTGGGGGCCTTTAAAGCGTCGTCTATGGACTTTTTGGGGTACTGAATTTTGTCGCTGTTTCACAGACGCACAATTTTTAACCTGGGCATGTTGGTTATCTATTTACTGGTTGTAACCTCATCTTTTATATTTTATTAAAACCATGGGTATTTGTTTGTGTTTTGGGGCATTTAAGTGCATTTTTCACTAAATTGTGGGGTATGATAAGGAGTTGCGCTAATATCGTGCAACATAAAAAATTTGCAACTGCCACCATTTTATTCTATACGGTCTTGGCTTTCAGAAAATGTATAATTTTTGGTGTTTTTAAGTAATTTCCAGGCCTAAAATCTGGAATATAACATGGGTGCAAAAAACAAAAAAAAGGCCTCAGTCATGAAGGGGTTAATACATGCTGTGTGTAAATATTTCATTGTTGGCTGTATTCTGTGAAGAAATCTTTTTCTCTTATAAAATACTTTCATTTCAGACTGAGTTTAACAAGAAAGACACCTTTTACCTCTTCAATCATGTTGATATAACCATCACCTATCACAGTGGCAAAGATGAGAACTGGGACGGAGGTAGACTGGTTGCTGCAAGGCTTGAACCAAAAAGGTGATTCGTTTGTTTTCATGTCTGTCTGTTCTGTTTGTTATGATACAGAATGCTTTTATTTAGCAAACAAATGACATGTACATTTGTGTCTTTATTTAGTTGTTTAAAACATTAAATACATTGACCAGGAATCCCAGAAAGAAAACAAGATTACCTGTTAGAGCTGTTGCCCAGAGCAGCAGATTTATTCTTCTATAGCATTTCAAAGTTCACACAGATTGGCCGCACTTGCTGCACGTTCCAGAGAATTTATTCGCCCCAATATATAAGGGGGTATCACAAAGTAATGCCTGTTGTGATATAGAATGTTTAATTATGCAGAGATGTGAACAACTAACAAACATGCATTTATCCTATAATTGCCTCTACTCTACCCTTCCACACAGTCCCAATCACATTTCATGCAGTTGCACCATCAAGGGCTTGTTCACACCATATACAGTGCGTATTGCACTGTATCACATAGTAAACTCCCCCCTGCGTTCTGGGGCGGGAGTGGGGGTGGTGGTGCATCGACGTCAATGGCACTGCAGCTATGCCCCCCCGCCCGCAGTGCAATCACCCACACCAAAATGCCAAGAACATAAGTGCCTGCGTTCCGATCCAGGGTGATTGGAAAAAATAGTTCATGCAGCATTCTTTCCGATTGCACTGGACACCAACGCAGGCACTAATGTGGCAAGCGTTCTGGTGGGGGCATGGCTGCGGTGCCATTGACTTCAATACACCACCATGACCCCTCCCACCCCAGAATGCAGGGAGCCGGCCAGGATGCGATACATTGCGTTTCAGCAGCTAATCACGTTGGAGCGCACTGTATATGGTGTGAACAAGCCCTAAGGCCTCAAATCCAGTTTGAAAAAATTCTACAGGAGGATGAGGAGAGCTTCAATAGTGCTGTTCAATGCCTCGGTAACAATTTCTGTTTTTGCCTTATCAAACTTCTTTACCCAATGCCTAACATTGCTCATGTCAATTACTGCATCACCATACACCTTCAGGCATACATGGTCAAAAACTCAGTTACTGCTCTTTGTTTCATGGTCTCATCCATGATGCACTTGGTAAAAATTAAAAAACAAAAGCACACAAGTTAGTCAAGCTGCTGTCAGAATACAAAAGGAAAAGCGGGGATTCCTCGGTCAACGCTCTTGTAGCATTGATGGAGGAATCTGTTCTATTTTGTTCGTTCAACCCAAAAATTGAGTGGTGTAAGGCCAGCCTAAGTTAGACCATATACATGATATATCTCAGTCATTTTATGATAAAAGTTTCCATGAACAACAGACATGAAACCACAGGCATTACTTTTAATACCCCCTCTCACTTTTGCAGACAAGCTGACATCATTTATCACATTTGATTTGTAGTTATCTGAGGGACTTTCAATTATAGTTTCTGTAATATAAAGATTTTCTATATGTTCAAGGAGTTCTTGTCGTTTTATTTAACATATTTTATGTTTATATAAGGCAGACCCAATTATACATTCTTGCTTTTGTGGTATTGTGATGGTTTTCGCCATGTTAGGAATACATTGCATACCTTGGCTCAAACTAACCTGCAATACATCACATTGGGCCCTAAGTTTGCACAATCACTGGCATATATACTTCAAGATCTGACTTTTATCACACAAATGGCTACACAGCCTTGCCAGTTGGCTAATTTCTGTTTCTATTTTCTTGTTTAGTTATAAACAATCTAATGTAAAGGAATTAAAATGTGAAGGTCACCCAATGGAAATACCCAAAGACTTAACTAGTCATCTGGATGTTATCTACACATACTCCGTGACTTTTAAAGTAAGTGTTTGTAAATTCTAAGCTTGTAAGTTATCTTCTGTGGAGCATTCTGTATCATGGTGTATTGGATTAAAATCTTTATTTTTTTTAATATAAACATTTTCTTGGTTTGCTTATTAACACTAGACAGATTTTTATTTATTTTAGTCATGTAAAGATTAAATAATTCCTATGCCACAACTCTGTCCAGGTTCTCCGCACTGTGCAATCTCTTCTGTACAGCTTCTATGCTAAAACTAGACTCTGATTTTATTAGAAGATTTGCAGTATATACAGTTAGACTAATATTTTCTAGTTTATTGAATTATCAACTACAAATTAATAAAAAAAAAAAAATAATTGTCACAGGCCATTCTAGGGAAGTGAAGGTGGATTTTCAGTTAACCACACATTCTGAGTTTTTTTGTTTAGCCTACAGACTTTTTTCATGGATTGTTCACCTTGCCTGACTCTGCGTGACCATTTTTTCACTGCAAGCATTCAACATCTCTGACTAGCACACCCAATTAGAGCCTATGTCTACATTACGGTGACATGGTTAATCTCACATTACCACAATGCACACTAGCACACACCATGGTATGTTGCAGTGCCAGTCATTTTAAATGGTACTTAAATGTACGTTTACAGTAGGAGGTAATGCACCTACACTGCAAATGACGTTTGTTTTAGTGCATGTCCATTTTTTTTCCTCCCACTCCCATGTGTGAAGGTGCTCTGTTCCTTATTGCGTTAATTCAAGCTTCATAACCCTACATATAGTCGGGAGGTGCAAAGTGCACTTGTCCCTTTTAGGCTGTCCTAACTCATCCCACCCTCCTCCTGTAAAAATGCATACGTACTGAGTTCTGAAGGACCCAACCTCCGATGTTATTTTACATGCTGTGGCAAATGTTTTGCTCTCCTGGCCGCACCTGTGCAGTACATCCCCCATTGACTTCTATAGGTCAGTGTCCTGGCCAGGAAACTGGGTAAACAAGCCCAATAGAAGTGAATGGGGATGCACTGCACAGGCGTGGTCAGTAGACTTTAGCCACAGGATTTAAACAAACAACGAAGGCAAGGCTTGGTGTGACATGGTAAGTATTCATCTGCACAGGGGAACGTGAGATCGGGTAGGTCAGCTTAAAGGGGCCAAAAGGATAAGTGCACTAATCCTTAAAAGCATTGAGATAATTTTTCTTTAGAACATGTTGCTCCAGGCTCCATTATCTGTAGGCCTAGACACTAATGGGGTTATTCACAAAAGGGTGAAGAGTTTGGAGAAGGCAGGAGAAGTGAACAATCTGGCCAAATTAGCCGATTTGGAAAAATTCTCCAATTCAGCTCACTTTCTGGTTCAACTATTTTGGCCTAGATTGTTCACTTCTCCTGCCTTCTCCAAACTCTTAACTCTTTTGTGAATAACCCTGCTAGTCATGTAAAATCGACCTGAAGAGATGGTTCAGGGTTCCCTTAGGAGAGAACAGGTGACCTTGTATCAAGACCTTCACACATAACCTTTTGTGGCGGGAGCCTGACGCAGCCTTTGCTTCAGGAAAGGTAAGTATGCAAGCTTTTTTATTTCTCTTTATATATCCAACTCTACAAAACTGGGATCTGTAAATGTAGTTTTAAAGATGAAATCTGGGCTAAACCAATAGTGTCTAACTACAAGAGCTATGTGTATTTTTACTTGCATTTTGGTGCCCTAGGTATATTTCTTTTGACCTATGCAGTAATCTATCATATAACAATTTGTGCACTTTTCCTTTGTGCAAGAGTTCCCTGTAATAAGGACTAGCAATAGAAAACACAAAAGATAAAGCGCACTCCTGTAGGGTGGACACCCTTCAATCAGGTGGCTGCTGTATATTGGTGTGCAAAGCTCCTCACTGCAGGGAGAGGACCCTGTCTATTACAACCACAAATCAAAACAAAAATTCTAAGGAGCGCAACTACCAAGAGTTGTATTTGTGGACTTAATCTGGCGAAGGGCCCTGTGGATCGGTGTGATAAGAACAGAATATCAGGAGCACTATTATTCTTGGAGTGTGGATGTCTATGGCAGTGTGACAGCAAAAGGACTTACAATTCGGAGCTCCCCTGGTTTCTGTGCGGCAGTCTCCTGGAACGGATCCTGGCTCGAAGGGATGTCTCCGGTGGTTTAGGTGGCAGATCCGGACCAGATGTAGAACCGTATTGCCGCCCACGTACTCGACTGGCCGGGCCGAGCTGCGTCAGTCAGGAACGGAGAAGAAAGGGGGAGGAGCTACAATCGGCTGTGGGACGCTGTGCGCCGTATGTCACTGGTTACAGTCGGGCTCCTGTCACAGGGGAGTCAGAGGTCTCCGGGAAAGTGGCTACTCGTTTGGAGGGGTTGCCTCTTTATCAAGCCTCAGGGTGATGGAGGTTACGGTTCTACATCTAGTCCGGATCTGCCACCCAAATTTTTTACATTTATTCTGTTCTTATCACATCGATCCACAGGGCCCTTCGCCAGATTAAGTCCACAAATACACCCCTTGGTAGTTGCGCTCCTTAGATTTTTTGTTTTGAGTTATGGCTGTAATAAGGACTAGTCACCGCTGCTCTCTTTCCTGGTGCAGGGTGACTGGTCTTGCATCCACCCCCCTATAGTTTGCTGCAGGTAGCCTGTAGTGGGAGGACTTCCTGGGTCCCACTTACAGATCTGCTCTTTGCACAGGGATGAAGTCACAGCTACTTCTACAAGGTAATAGCTGGGCTTACACAGGCATTTGATACATACCAAGTGGATTTATATCACTTGTGGGTATTGAAGAATATTTTTAAATACAAGATTTGTGCCCAGAGTTCATCTTTAACCAGTTGACATCCGCGGTGTTAAACCCCCTTCCCATCCAGGCCATTTTTCAGTATTCAGCGCTGCGGTACTTTGACTGACATTTATTCCGTCATGCAGCGCTGTACTGAAATGAATTTTATACCCTTTTTTGGGGACAGATAGAGCTTTCTTTTGGTGGTATTTATTCACCACTGGGGGTTTTATTTTTTTACTATATTAAGGAAAAATTACCGAAATTTAAAAAAAAAAACAGTTTCCCCTATATTAAATGATAAAACATTTATTATTACCCAATTTTTTGGTAAAATATAAAAGATGGGGTCACGTCGGGTAAAAAGACACTAAACATGTCAAGCCTTAAAATTGCGTGCGCGCGCGAAACCTCAAAAAACGATAATACCCAAAATTGGCCATAGGCGACGCTTTAAAAGCTGTTACCGCTCATCAGTTTAGTGTTATCAGTGATTGATGGCCCTAAAATGATTGCTCTCACTGCGACGTTCGCGGCGATATGTAACATGTGTAGCGCAATTGTAATTTTTGCGCGCTGGGGCACCGGACGCGTATTTACGTTTATAGGCGCGTAAACGTGGGGGTGGGGGAGTTAAACATTTTGGGGGGGTTTTTTCCCCTTTTTTTATATGTGACTTTTATTTTATTTTACTTTTTTATGTGTTACTTTTATTTATTTTTATTTATATTTATTTTTTTGCACTTATTGTTATTGCTATTATATAGGGGGATAACAACCCCCTATATAATAGCAAAGGCACACTGACAGGTCCTCTTTATGGAGATATCAGGGGTCTCTATATGGGGGGTAATGGGTGTGTTTAATCGTCGGGTCTTTTCTGCCCGTGCGTGCACGCTAGGGGGCGCGCGCGAGCGGAAAAAAATTGCCGTCTGGAGACGGCAACCCGCAGATGTAGCAGTGCCGTCCGTCCGTTTTTTTACTACGGGCGGACGGCAAGAGGTTAAAGTATAAAAATTTTCTGAACTTTCCCTCCCACTTTACGAACAAAGTGATTTAAAAAAACCAACATATAGACCCAAACGGAACTTGATTTTTGCTGATTTGATGAGCCTCTGCCACGGTACACATGTGGTGCTGCCCAGCCACTTAGTGTTGTGTTTCCTTGCATAGGAACTCTTTGAGTGCAATGGCTTACCTATCGGTGCCATAAGGTAAGAGCAGCTTCAGTGCCTAGGCTGATAGACTGTACAAGGCAAATTCATTTTTGTTAGGTGCAAAGTAATGTTTCATTATGTGCACATGTATTATGAGCTATTCAGCTCAGTACACTTTCAGGTAGTGGTGGGGGGTGATGCGTGTGGAAGACTTGATGGTGCAATAGATGAACCACTTGGATGTTAGAGTATATATGCTCTAAAATGTATTACTGGCTTCAAGATTGAACTGTCATGCTTCTGAATTCTTAATCATCTTAGCATTGTAAGGGCACTTAGGAACACAGAAGGAGCAAAAACAAAAATAAGCTTTTCAGTTTTTCCTGCATGTAACCTGCTGTTCACGATAGCTGCATGTGTATGTTAACCTTCTACATCCTGGAAACTGCTGCCTCCAGTACTGAAGTTCTTCATTACGTACTGTGCCAATAAAACTATAACCCTGGCATTAGCATTTTCATGTATAAGACCTTCTTCATCTTTTAGGAAAATAATACCATTAAATGGGCATCTCGTTGGGATTATATACTGGAGTCCATGCCACACACAAATATTCAGTGGTTCAGGTAAGACTGGATGAAAACTCCTATAGATTAGCTTTAAGTACAAACTCCAGTTAATACTGTAAATGACTTTTTTTTTTTATTACATAAAAAATATATATATTTGAATGCAACAAGTACTTACATTTTTAGCTTGATAATTTCCTCCTCCCTGCATAGCAGCACTCAGATTGGCAGAGGGAGAATCTGCTCTAGTAACCAGTCATGCCTACAGTAGGAGAGAGCCGCATGAGAAGTCATCTCTGTTCCCCTGGTCCTTTGTTGCTCATTCAGCAGGATGTGACTGTGTTCTTGACCAAACTGTGGAGGTTAAGAATCTGGCTATGCTCTCTGACAGTTTTGCCTGGTTCACAAAACTGATTGAAAAGAGTTCTAGATTATTTAACTGTTTAAAGTAATAAAGTGACACTAAACTCAGCAGTTAAATCTTAAAAATATATTTTGAGTATCTTAACTATTAACAAAAATGTATCTTAAATCTCTTAAATCCTCAAATCTCTGAATTGGTGCCGACACTGTCCTTCTTTCTGGTCCTTGTGTGTGTTGTAAAGTAGACACAGTTCCAAGCTTGCTACCTTGATAGACTACAATCTCAATACAAATAAGTATGAGATTATAACTCCTGAGTTTAGTGTCACTTTAAGGCCTTTCACACGAGAAAAAGCCGGCACGTACAGCTCCGTGCACGGCCGTATCGGGCAGCTCCCGAGAAGGACAGGTGCTGCGTGTGATTAGTGCTCAGCCCCTGTCCTTCTCTAGGGGAGTATGCGGCCGTATACCGTCCTACGCTCACCCCAAATGCAGGTCCGTGCGGGTATCCCAGCTCGGACGCAGACAGGATCCATCCTGTCAGCGTACGAGTACGGACACCCGCACGGACATGCAGGACAGGTGAGCGTAGGGCGACATTCGGTCGCATACTCCCATAGAGGACAGGGGCTGAGCACTAATCACACGCAGCACCTGTCCTTCTCGGGAGCTGCCCGATACGGCCGTGCACGGAGCTGTACGTGCCGGCTTTTTCTCGTGTGAATGAGGCCTAAACCTTCATCGTTTTTTTTAAAATGGAGGGTTAATAACACCTGAGCTTGTAAATGTTTCATCCGTGTGATTTATCTGCTGACCTGGAATCCAGCTTTACTTATTCTGATCTGTGTATCACTAATACATTTAGAACACCAAGAGGAAGAAGTCTACTGTGTATGTTTTTTTCTTTATCAGATGTTAGATTTTTTATTTTTTTAAATGAAGCCGTCAGCAGGGTGACACCCCACTGGGACATCATCACACATACACCTTTTGACAATTTTCTTGTGAATAATACTTACTGTTGTGTTTTTTGTTGTTGTTTGTTTTTTACATTTTGGTCTCGCATAGTTTGGGGGGGGAGGGGAGGGTGTAAAGTTAGTTTGAAATGCAAAAGTCCTACAACGGAGGGCAGCTGTGCATGACGGCTTACACTGAGAGGGTGGCTCTATCCTCCAAGCGTGCTTGTCCTGGAAAATGTCCTAGAGGGCCTACAGAAAATACCTATTGCCTCATATTTGTCTAGTTACCCTGATGACTCCCATTCTGACTTTGTTAATTTTAACAATACACTTGATTCACGAGTTTTGTCCTTTTCCCGACTTATAATTGCTTCTGTGCAGCACACATGACTAGTTAGGGTTTTTTAAAATTCAAATAAAGTTTTAACCGCCTAGGTCCTATTATTTGCTTACTTAGTTTTGACTGCATTGTGCAGTGATATCAGCTTAACGTATAATTAAACTCTCTGGTTTTTTTGCACATATCTACTGCTAGCAAGCAGTAGCTGTATGCCAAAACACACACAAAAAAAAAGTTTCCAAAAAGGTAACTACTTACCTGTGTCTCCGCCGCTCGCTCCCATCTGAAGATCTAGAGCTTCTTGAGTGGCCAAGCAGGATGATGGGGCGGGCGCATGCATAGTAGAGATCTTCGACTGGGAGAAGAGAGACACAGTGAAGGTGAATGCACACAACCGGGAGCGTGCACATCGGACAGACACCTCGGAATAGGAAGAGACAGCAGTTTGCGCTGGATCAGAGATCGGCACCAGGGCTGAAGGGATTGCTGAATACAAGTGGAAGGAAGATGATGATCGGATCAAGAGGCATCATTTAAGTCAAGTCCTTTAAAGAAGCATTGCGGGGGGAGGAAGAGAATTGTGACTTTAATGTCCCTTTAGGAGCCCATTCATGCTGTGCTAACAGCACAGCATCTGGTGTGCAGTGCCCCGGGACAGTACCGAAGCGCTGATCCCAGTGCATCGCACTGCAATTGAATTTTTTTTTTTCAAGAACTTGTCAAATTTACATTTCTTTCAGTTCTACAGGCACCACAGGGTGCAAGGCTGTTGTACCGCGTCGCATCCCGCTGTATTGAAAACAGTAAGGCATGTCTTACTGGTTTTCAGCGCACACCATCGCGTTCCTATCACAACATGGTGGTGTGAATGCACATCATCCGTGACGAGGCAAATTGTCTTGGTCAATGCTTTGTCTTGCATCGTGGCCGTGCTGGAAACAGCCACCGTAGATGGTGTGAAACGCCCCTAACACCGTGAGCTTGCTGACCAGTATGAGAGATGCAATGGTCTTTCATTGTCCAGGAGAAGGCTGTGTGAGGGCAGGTGAGCAAGCTATATTGCTGAACTATTGAGAAGCAAAGGAAAGTCGCCAACGGGTCTGTTGTCTGGCATGAGCTCGTAGATTGATTGATTGCATAGAAATGTGAATCTTTTGGCTGGTTTAATGTATTTCAATTGTGCATATGAGCATGTTTGTTAGATTAGCAAAGTTGTCAGAATTCAGCATGTGTGATGAGGCATTGGCGATAGTCACTATAAATCTTTTTGACTTAAGCAGCTGTTTCCCCCGTCTGCTGTGTAATTAGAATACTATTCTTTCATTCTGGGGAATGTACAACCCCAGGGATATTGTCAGAACTTCCACTGGAGAGCTTTTGCTAAAAATAATTGTCTAGATGTATTTATTACATTTTTATAGATCAGATCTGAATGTTAAATCGGTAAACATTTACTTGGCACATGCATAAGCTTTCACTGAAGGCTCTGAGTACTGTTTCTACAAAGCCAAATTGCATAGTGGCCATACACTCAGAATTTAGGCCCATTTTCCTGTGAATTGCCACGAATTCTAACAGTTTGTGGCCCTGACAAAAGTCGAATACTCAAAGGAGCTGGGCCAAAACTGTCGGGTGAACAGCGACAGAAGCGAGTCAGTGGACCGGCTGCAATACAATAGCCTGGCTGGGGGAAACGGCATAGAAAGAGGAACCTGTTAGATTTCTTCAACCATCAGATCAGCTGGCTGCACACCGTTAGATTTTCCTTTTTATAACTGATTTGATAAAAAGCAAAATAGACACAGGCCTAGCTGAACATTTAACTAAGGAAATTCTGGCACCTGGTTTGCACAGTGAATAGCAGGGTCAATGAACCTAATCCACCAGTTTGTGTACTTTGATATTGCTACATGGTTATATTTGCATATTTTGGTGAATAGATGTATAGGCAGTTGCTAACGCCTGTTAATTTTACTAATTTATAAAGATGTGTTTTTGCCCTTCTACTTTATGAAGTAAAGAGCTTGCCATTTACATTTCAGTATAATGAACTCCCTGGTTATTGTCCTTTTCCTATCCGGGATGGTAGCTATGATCATGCTCCGCACGCTTCACAAAGACATAGCCAGATACAACCAGATAGATTCTTCTGTGAGTATTCTTTACTGTGATTCTACACATTGAAACTGCATGTAATATATATTTTTAGGTCATAACCTTACAACAAAAAGAATTGTTTAGAAGTGGTGATGCCTTCTCTAAGGGTAATTCACACTTTTGCATTTTGAGAAGTTATTTGATTTTTTTTCTAAACGCATGTTCGTACATGCGATTTGAAGTGTTTTTTTTGTTTTCATTATAATTTTATATAAATTGTCTTGTGTCTGTGTTCTTGGGGTTAGGGTTTTTTCCCCCATCAATGTGGGTTAAAAAAAAAAATCTGTAATTTTGCATGTGATTGCCACCATAAAATGTGTGCTAAAACACATCATACACGTGCATATTTTAATATTTATTCCCATGCAGAAGTGACATGCAGATAAATGCAATAGAGTATAACAGCATTACCTTAAAAAAAATTAAAGTGTAGGTTTAGCCAATTTTGTATTTTTATGTTTTTTTAACCGGATGGAACGTTTCTCCAACAATGCTATGGATGGTTATCGCTCCCCAGCAGCACCTGTCCACCATTTTAAGTACTCTATACATAAAGTATTGTTTTGTGGTTTTTTTTCCCCTCCAAGGAAGATGCACAGGAGGAATTTGGTTGGAAGCTAGTGCACGGCGATATATTCAGACCTCCCAAGAAGGGAATGCTTCTCTCTGTATTTCTGGGACAAGGAACACAAATTTTTATCATGACCTTTATTACTCTGTGTAAGTATTTTTATTTTATACATACCTTCTAGTGTTTTTGACGTGTCTGTTATGAAACCCTGGTTTAGTGCTTGTTTGAAATAATGTTATTTTTCTAAATCCCTACACACGATTCATTAGAAGGATGTCTGTGAAGAATAGTTGTTATTGAGCTACAAAGACCAGAGACGTCACTTCTTCTTTTTTTTTTTTTTTTTCCCCTTATAAGTTGCTATTGAGATAAAAGCATAAAAAATATCAACAATACAGTTAACAGTAATAAACAAAGAGGATCAGTTCAGGGAAATAGATTACAGAGAATACTAACTAGTCCTTGGTGCAGCCCAGTGACCACCACAAAAAGATAGGGGTAAGACCAAGAAACATATCATAAAACGTAGGGAAACCTAGCACAGATCTGTATATCATGTAGGGCTGCAGCTAACGATTATTTTCATAATCGATTAGTTGGCCGATTATTAAGTTCGATTAATCGGTTAATCGGATAAAAAAAAAAGGCTCCAGTGATGGACTACTAGTTTCTATTGCGATTGTAGTCCATCACAGGAGCAAATGTACATTGTTTTAGTAGTGTGACCCCAGTCCCGTAATCCAAGCATATAAGTAGTGCAAATAAACATCATGGGTAAACTAGTGGGCAGAGAAATATCGAGTCTGGGTGCAAGGGGTAAGATCAATAGAGCTAGCGGAAACATCTTACGTTGGCCATACACATGACAATACAATTGTTTTGATGAAAGAATCTTGTCATTTTGCACTAAAGCATTGTACTGTTTAAGAAACCCATTTTTTTCAGTAAAAGATCATTCATAATTGCACTTATAGACCAGGCAAGCATATATTGTTATGTGTAATGCCAGCATTAATTGGGTCACCGAGGCAAGGAACAATCATAAGGGCTGTGCTGGGCTTTCTTAATAGAAAGTCCAACATGGTTTGTAAACAAAGTCATGGGTACATACTGTAATAAGCACAAGTAGTGAGCCATTTCAGCCTGTAAAGACTTTGATCACAATCACTCTTGCTTCTTTATTGAAGAAACATGTCACAAGCGTTAATTTCGTGGCCATACAGGGTCTCTTCTTCAAGGCGACATAGTGAACTTTATAATTTTGGAAAACATGGTGCCATCCGTGTAATCACTACTAGCACCATGGCCACTAATCCAGGTCCAATCGCTGTAAGGAATGCAGGTGACACATGATAACTCTACATAGCCATTTAAGCCTGTCACTGGCAGATCAGTTTTTCCGTTTTTCACACACATTGTAAAAATGCGTGTTACAGACAGCTTTTACTATAGATACCCAAAACTGAATTTTCTGAAAGCAGAGGGCCTATACCAAGAGATGGATGTCCCAACTTTGCATATTGCGCAATGTTCATGTAAATGTTAGACATGTATGTATGAAATCTATTTTCAGTAATAAATGCAATAACTATTGGTGCAAAGAAATGCAATACGATCTCTTTATTTCCTCTTCCTTATCGACCTTGGATAGGTGATTTTAAATCCATTTTTTTTTTTAACTTGGTTCAGGAACTGGGAATATTACATGAAATTCTTTAAATTAATGTTTATTCTCCTTACACAGTGCATATAATCTAACCTTGGGCCTTGTTCTCTTAAGTCTTAGCATGCCTTGGATTCTTATCACCTGCTAACCGAGGAGCATTGATGACCTGTGCAGTTGTATTGTGGGTCTTGCTGGGAACTCCGGCTGGCTATGTATCTGCTCGGATGTACAAGAGTAAGTTGCCAATTATTTTTGTTTTCTCTTAGTACCCTTTGTGACAGTATTTGCTGATGTTTCTGTGTGATCCTATATGGCAAGCATCTAAACCTCAAAAAAAAAAAAGGGGGGTAAATAGTGTAGCCCACTGAATTGATGGGCCATGCTAAAGGTACAAAGGGCTGTATCTACACATTTCCAAAAAAAATGCAAAAACGTTGCCTATAGCAACTTTAGTTAGAATATTTATCCCAGTATATGTATCTGGGATAAAATTGTCAAAAAACATTTTCTGATGTATTAAGCTGCATTCGATGTAACAACGTTTTTAGGATTTTGCTATAGAACAGTCTACTGCATCCATCAATTAAAACTTTTGAACTTCCAGTTAATGTTACCAACTAATGGTCTTTTTATATAGTATGTACCATTAGGCCCATAAGCGTACCTCAGTTTTAAAATATAGAGAATGAACTGCGCCAATAAGCAAGCTAACAGCTACAAGGCACTGGAATGTACACCCACTGTGAGTGTGTATACGTGAAAAATGAATAACTAAATGTGCCGAGCTAAAACAATGATCAGATATAAAGAGTAAAAATACCTCAGTTTTACTTTATTTAGCTTTAAATTATTTCCCTGGTGTGAGGGAGAGTAGCCATGCCCCCAATTCATCCCGCATTGTCAAGGCAACCTAACAGATGTCATATGAAGGGGTGCACGCACTGAGCCCTATGCTAATAGAAAGTCGGTATTTTCATTTATTTTGCCCGGTGCCTATTGTTTTCAAAACTTTAGAATCCTGCTACTTTGCCTGTAACTTCGACCTAATGTCTGTGGCACACTGTAGGTTGGTCTGGACCTGTTTTTGTTACTCTTGCACATACTCGTGCGCCTGCATTTTTGTTTTTAGGATTTCTATGCTGACATTTATTTGGGGGTCAACTGTGACTCCCAGTGTCAGTAACCTATTATAATTTTATGCCCGTATTATAGGCAATACTAAACATTAGCTAGTGAACAATAACACACTAGTCATAGAACAGTAATTCATTCATCTGCAGATTTTAGATCATGTAGATGCATGTACCTACAAACCTCAGATCAGCCCCAATACATGCACCCTCAGACCTCAGATTGTCCTCAAATGCAGCGGTTTTAAATACCTGCTGCAGTAGTTCTAACAAGAGGAGGACAAATGTAGGCATGTGGATGGTCTCCTTCCACCACCACCATCATCTGCTGCTAGTGGGCCTACACATTCAGTGATGTTGGAGAGGTAGGTGGGCCATGGGCAGGCCAGGATTTGTAATAGCTCACTAGCTTTAGGAAGCTGAACGTTGGGTGCCAGTGAGAAAGGCATTGTAAGCTAAAGCAATTTTTGCCATTGATATACTGTACATGTAGCAAGCAGGTTTACACTAATTTTGTGCTTTCTCTGTACTCCAAATTGTTTTTTTCAGCTTTTGGAGGCGAGAGATGGAAATCAAATGTGTTATTGACAGCCCTATTGTGTCCAGGGTAGGTTGTGTGTGTGTGTGTGTGTGTTTATTTTTGTGCTACTTAGTAGTGCACATAATGTAGTTGAATGTGAAAAATTAAAATAGACATTCTGCTTTTAGTTGTGAAGATTTTATGGTATCTTAAAGCTGACGCTCCTGGGGTTCTCTAAAGCTCTCTGTATATTTTACAATCTGACCATACAATCTTTGTACAATCAACTTTAAGTGATTAGAAGAAGGATACATTTTACTTTTTCTCATATTTTAAGAAAGTGATGGTTGATGGCAGCTTGAAATGTAAAGCTATTTTTAATACCCTTAAAGTGCCACGCATATAATTTGCTAGTATATGTAATATAATGGGTGCTAGCTATGTCAAAGGATCCTTTTTTTTTGCCAACATTGTTCCTTTTGTTGGATAGAGAACCTTTTGTGTCATGTTGTTTTTTTCTTTTCCTCCACAGAATTATTTTTGCTGATTTCTTCATTATGAATGTTATTTTGTGGGTTAAACACTCTTCAGCTGCAATCCCCTTTGGAACACTAGTAGCTGTCCTAGCAATGTGGTTTGGAATTTCTGTTCCCCTGACATTCCTAGGAGCATACTTTGGATTTAAAGATAGAGTGAGTATCAGAAGGGAATATTCATATTTCTTAATTGTACTTTAAAAGACACAGGATGGTAATCGAGATAGATAGGGGTATGCTTTTGCTATCATATTGGGCACTGGCGAAACAAAGCTGTTTTGAAGAGCCTAGTTTTAACCCTTCCCAGTCTGATCTTTCACCAGTTTTTTTTGCTAGTGCCCTAGGATAATAGATACCTTCTCTTTTGAGAGAAACAAACCATTTCTTACCTTTTTTTTCATGCTTTTTAGCAAGATACTTTTTTCTTCTAGCAAGATTCCTCATTTGCTGCAGAGCCACTGGGGCACATTTTGCAGCTTTTAGGATCGGCTGATCCTTGGCACAAATTTTGAGGCCGTACCCAGATTCCACTGTTAGAAAGAAGCAGGACTGGCCTGTAATGTGTCCTCACAGCACTGAACTCGGCTGAAGACATTCTTGTAGACCCCCTGGGTGTAAGTTGTTAGATAGCCGCAGGGTGCTTTTACAGGTTCACGGCCCCAGTGCACCCGCCTGTTTGAACTCTTTCCGGGAAGGCTCCTTTGGGAGTATTGCCATTGGGAGAGATAAGGCTGTTTTGATGGGGCATGTCCCTTGTACCTATCTAATATCTTCTAATCTACTTGGTGGGGACCACAAGGTGTCTCAGGGCCACTGCGGTAAATCGGGGCATTGTCCTTATTGGGGCCTGGGTGTGCTTGGTTTGCTCTTTGAGTTCCCTGAAAGGTTAACTCAGGAGTGCTGACTGTGACACTTTACTCCTCCTAAGTGTTTTGCCCAACAATATCCTGTTGAGGAGGGGTTCCTTTAAAACCTGGGCCAGCTCTTAGTAGATCTGGCCATTTCATGTCTTAAGACTGACTGCCTGACCCTCTAGAGCAGTGTTTCTTAACCTTTTTTTTTAGTCACGACACCCTTTAACAGTACAGGTATTCCTCACTTAACGACCGAGTTCCGTTCCTACGACCAGGTCGTTAAACGGATTGGTCGTTAAGTGAGGAACTCTATACAGTACTATACTGCATTAGTACAGTACTGTATAGCGTTGCCGATGTACAGTACCGAACAGTGTACTGTACATCCGGCAATGGAAATACTTACCGAGACCTGCAGTGAAGATCGGGGGATGTCACTACCGCCGGCGACCTGTCGCACTGACGCTGACGCGGAAGGTCGGAGGTCGATCGGCGGTCCGTCGTAAGTGCGAGTGGTCGCAAAACAGGTAAGTCGGTAAGTGAGGAACATCTGTATGTAAAATTTCAAGGCAATATGTTTAAAAGCATGTGGCTCCTCCAAAATCCATACCAGACGCTAATCCCAGATAGGGGTATAGTATAGATTTATAAGTTGGTACCACACGCAAAAACAATATAAAAATAAATAAACATGGGGTTCCCTCATTCACATCAGAGTCCCCCTTTCACATTAGAATCACCGATTTCACATCAGAGCCCACATTTAGATTAGGAGCCCTCTTCACATTAAGAGCCCCTTCCTTTGACATGAGAGTTCCCTCCCCTCTCCAACACTAGGAGACTACTTCACATCTGAATCCTCAGTCCACTTTTCACATCAAGAGACCTACCAACACAGTAGGAGCAGCAGCTGCGGCAGTATGGCAGATGGCGGGAGGCGTAGCATCTCTGAACAGAGGTGAACTTTCCTCCTTTTCTGAATGGATTCCACCCTCCCTAGATTAGCGTCATTCATTTCCATGGTGTTGGTGGACTGCCAATAAATTGGTTGTTTGGACCAAGTACCGTATATGTCTCTGGATCCTGGATATATCCACACGTAACCCTCTGTCCTCAACAACTGGAGCTCATGCGTGTGGCCCTGCTCTACTATGTTGATGGGTGGGCGGCTATTATTTGCCTAATACCCAGAACACGCCTTAATTTGGTACACATGCTGATAACCCCCATCAGGAACACATTCAGCAGTAACGTTCTAACAGCATCTAACTCTTCTGCAGGTTATACAGTTTATACAACTAAACATACATTAGGGATGGGAATGAAGGAAAAGAAACACTAGCAGCCAATAATAGTATGAGATATTTTATACATGCCGTTGATTTAAAACAAAAAATATTCTACCTGATGATAAAATTGTTCTTTGCTGACAGTGATTTGTAACGGTGCCCACTTTGGTTCCACAGAGACTGGAGAAATGACAATATTGCATGCCGACACTTGTTCCATTTAGAAACAAATATAATGTGCTGTGATTTTGAGCTCTACAGAGAGGGGAGAAAGGCCGATGAGGCCAGTACAGAGTTCTAGGGTTACTTTGTCTACAAAGACTCAACATTGTGATCAGCTCCATAGGTAGAACTGATGCCACTGGGTTGCAGTCCAGGGCATAGGTAGCTGCTATAGTTATCTCTACAGTTGACACACCTACTGAGTTTGGTTTTAAAAAGTGTGTCCTGATTGGATAGTGGGCAGCAGGGGTTAGGGCATAGTAGGAAGTCTTTAACCACTTCAAGACCAGGTGTTTAGACCCCCTTCCGGGCCAGGAGTCTTTTTTGCAACCATTGCTGGAAAGACTGTTGGGCTGGGATTCTCAAGGAAAATGTTGCTACTTTACAGGTCTGGTTATAAGCGCAATCTCATAGCAGATCAGTGCAATATGGCAATTCCTTTACTTCCCAGAGTTTACACAGGAGAATCCTTATCAGTTACAGGACTATTCACTAAAGGGTGAAGAGTTTGGAGAAGGCAGGAGAAGTGTACAATCTAGGACAACATAACTGAACTGGAAAGGAGCTGAATTGGAGAATTTTTTCCAAATCAGCTATTTTGTCCTAGATTGTTCTCTTCTCCTGCCTTCCCCAAACTCTTCACACTTTTGTGAATTACCCTGTTAATGTTTACTGAATTAAAAGGCTGATCTATAATTAATAAAAGTTGGGAGGAAAGAGTGAATTGACACCAAATATACTATGTGGCTGCAATGGCAACAGCTTCACATTTATTTTTAGTTGAGCCCTGCAATTGTCACTTAAGGCATTTGCAAATCTTCATGCATTTGTATGGGTGATGCATGATTTAGACACAAGGTGGCATTGCTCTCACTCTCAAGATTTTTTTTATTTTTTTTTCCTTCTTCACTAACGCAATAATTTTCCATTGTCCTCAACAAATACAAACTCACTAGAGCATCTGGTGCCTTCTACATTTAATTATCAGCAGGTTGATATTTATGAAGTTGAAGTAGATAAAATTACAGGTAAAATGACGTTTGAAAATAAATTACGTACCTCATTACCATGTGGTTATTTAAGGCAGAACTGGCAAAAATACGGAAACCGATTTTAAATGAAGTATTCTACGTGTGCAAAGAATTTTATTTTACATTGTCCTACTGGCTTCTGGGAAATTAACACGGAAATGTTCCTGGCACTTTTCTCACCTGCCACTCATGCTGTCCTTTTAGAATTAGTTAGGTGGAGTAGTTGGCCTTCAACTAACTGAGAAGCAGACCAATGGGAGCAGCAAGAAAAGTAGACTGCCTTAAGAACTTAACAGTGGAAGATCTTCATACTGTGTATAAAGTTAGACTTGCCTCCTGCAGCCTCAATTGTGTCTTGATCACCATCTACCCAATGTATGACTTTTTGATTACTGCATAGAAATGATATGAATATTTTAAAGTGTATTTCCACTTTTGCAGTAAAATTTGAGACAGCCCCTCTATATGTTTGTGTTCCTATTCACAGAGCATAAAGAACATTAATAATTAAAACAATTCTTACCTTTTTTACATGTTTTTCTATAGCAGGCAAAATGGCCAATTTGATGCTTTTCTCGGTAACTTTAAGGTGATCTGTCTTAATGGAAAGGCTTAGGACTGTAATTTTGAGGATTGTGTTTCTCTCATTCACTAAATTAACATACAATGAACAAGCCACCCCCCACAACCTGTCCTAACATTGCAAAGAAAGTATGTAGAAATGTTAACACTTAAAGTCCACACATATATAGCTTATGCTGTGAGAATGAGAGCAATGTAACAAATGTAAAATAGCTGTTATCCCAATTTGGCTGCAAAAGTAGAAATGCACTTTAAGCTTCTTTTTTATACATTTTGTAAATGTTTAGCCTTTACTGTTTGTTAAATGTTATTTCTTTTATAGCCTATTGAACATCCAGTCCGCACAAATCAAATACCACGGCAGATTCCCACACAGTCCTTCTTCACAAAACCATTTCCAGGCATAGTTATGGGAGGTATTCTGCCGTTTGGGTGCATTTTTATTCAGCTGTTTTTCATTCTGAATAGTATTTGGTAAGTTTGTGATTTTTCTTCTTTTTCCCCTATCTTGTAGTATTTTTATACTTCATTTTACATAAGAAATCTTATTTGGAATGCTTATGCAGCAGGAACATGATGATACTTTTACAAGATGGGTTATATAGTTTATGTATTTGGGTACGTTTTAAAAATGCTTTTAGCCTAGCCCTACTTCTAACTTTTACACAGGGGGTGATATTAAACCTACCTAGTTACCTAGCTTAAATATAGGATGCCAATACATGTCAAATGGCTATGCATTTAGGGTTCTGGAATTTTCACAGCCTCATGACTACTCTCTATCCAGCTCTCAGGGTGTTTGATGTAGATGCTGGTTGCAGGCAGGGAGCTAACCCTGGCAGCTAAACCTCTCTCTCCCTGCTTTCCAAGTGCCTAAACCGTGCTGCTAAATCATAACATATTTTCTCAGTTTGGTACATTGTCTCACAGATCAGTAATTGTCGGCTGGAGAGAACTTGTGTTACAGTATAAAATGTCTTGATAGAGAAACTCTGGAGCTGATGTGGTGCTAAGCAGACCAGGGCAGGTATTAATGGTGTTGTTAAAACTAACACATGGGTTACTGGTGTCTAAACTATGGTCAAACTATAAAATCACATGTTATGTAGGGTACCCATCCAAGCAAGTACCCCTGTAACATTTTTTTAAATACGTGTTGAACTTGCTATTAGAACCATTGGAAACTTCTTTGCTTGGGAGAGAACGCTCTATCATCTGCATTGAAATCGCTTCAGTGTTACCCTTGCTGCTGCTTGGATGAAAACCCTATCGGTAAATAATCACTCCTAGCTCTGCCCATAGCGTTTTAGATTGACAGCACATTGCTCTATCTGCAGGAGCTCAGGGAAATTGTGTAAAAGCCCTGCTCAGTCCCTTCCACCATCTCTGGCACTGCCTAGCAGAGTGCATTAGAAATTCAGCTTCCCAGCTACATTTACCATAAAAAAAAGGTAAAATTAGACTTCTTTTAAACGTATAAAAAAAAAATACCTGCTTGCATTGAAAATACCAGTTTTCTCTCTGTGGGGATAAATCTAGAGGATTTAGATGTAATTTGTTCTTCAATATCATTTCGGCTCCCATTTTGCTATCAACATAAATGATAGAATCACCTTCACTTCTCACAATGTGTATTTGTATACTCTCGGTTATCTCCCTGATTTCCTTCAGTTTATACTTCTCACATTTTACAACATGCTTTTCTGGTCCACCTCTGTATACTACACTGTGGTAGTCATGTGGTACTTTTGAAAATATCTTCTGGATTCTCCTTTTACCATTTAGAAACATTGTCCATATCTTGAAATCCTGAAATTCAGAAAAGAAACTGACTACATGGTTAGTTGCCTAGCTGTTACATGTTGTAGATGGTTCTGGATGTGTTAATATGTCTTTGCCCCCCTTATCTGTGAATAATCTCTGTTGGATCTGCAAAGCAGTAAAGATATACATTTAATTGTTTTAAAAGGAACTGGTCAGGGTGGAGATATGGAAACTGCTATTAACTTATTTGACTTATTTTTGCTTTGTGGCTTCTCTACTTGGAGATCTGATCTGGAACAAGCGTGTATATTTTTATCCTGATCATTCACTGACTGACTATGTTTGGATTTTTAGTAGTGAAGAAAGGGTAGGGATGACAGCCCAGAGGCTTGCACTTTTCTTAAAACATTTTCAGCAGTGCCTATTGTTTCTTTGACAGGTTATCTTTAAGAATTCAGATGTGAGCACAAGAATGTGGTGAGAAATGGGGAAAGTGAGGTTTCACCCTAAAATCCACTGTCTACTATTTAAAGCGGACCTTTACCTATATCTTTAAAATAACAACAAACACCTTTAGAAATGTTTAGTAAGGACAATCTATAAACACATACTTCTAGATAACTGCAGGCTTTGTATTCTTTGCACACCTTATTTCTCTTTTCTTCCCCAGTCTTCTGACAGTGGCCATGTTTACGATGGGCAGATTACTAGCTCCTCTCCTTTTTTACTTCCTGAATTTCTGGCACATGTGACTAGACATGTGACTAGGACATGTGACCATGTACATCATCTCGGGGTAGGAAAATGCCTTTCCCTGAGATCTCGTGAGAATACAGATGGGATTTCCAAGCAATGCTCCTCTGATGACAAGGCAATCCCAGTGTGCATTGCATTGGCAAACTGAAGTCATTTGCACTTTCAAAGCAGGAAGTGAATGCTCTGCAAGTGTAAGTATTTCAAAATCACAGCATTTTGCACCTGGCATGTCTATGGTGTTATTATTAATCATGCATAGAGGGATGCATTGGTAGAAATTGACTTTTGAGTGAAGGTCCGCTTTAATTAGGACTCCGTGTAATTCAAAAAACTATTTTGCACTTGCTATATGACTTGTTTGCCACATAATGCTAAAATAGACCACTGCTTGAGATCTGAGCAACATGGAGTGGTGCCCTTTTCTTATACCACACGCACACCCCTATATTCCTCATAGACTGCTTTTCTATGAGTATCAAGGGTAGTATCCTACTGTTGCCATTGAATGGAGTTTGGAGAGTCAAGTGACTGCTCTTAATGTGACATGAATGATTCCTCTTTTGGGGACCTGTTTGGGATATCTGAGAAAGAGGTATGCAACCGTTAGTATCTAGTGACGGTGGAATGAGCAATGCAAAAATGTCACACATTCTCCACAGACTTGCATTATGTTGGAGTGAGTTAGTTTTATGTGGAGTGGGTAGAGGTCTACTTCTGCGACAGTTTTCAACTGCTCATCTTGAACACCTGTGAGATCCCTTCCCACCCTATGGATGGCAGCATCATTTTAAACTCTGAACTACTGTAGTCGTTGAAGAATTCTCTGTATATCTTAAACAAAAACTACTTGAGGGCATAGGACACTAGAAATGCTCCATCACTAATCCTTTGGTCAGTTGTTCATAGGAATGTATGGAGATTTACCTTCAGCAAGTGACACTGAAAGCTAGACTGAAAAATCAAAGCTTGTGGAAGGTTGGAGGAAGTGCTTAAAGAAGAACTATGAGGTGAGTGAAAATCACTTATCCTCATAGTTCGAGCCGATGTGTGACAATGAAACTGTCGCACGTCGGCTCAATAGATCGGGAAGTGAGCGAACGCATACCATCGCTCGCTCACTTCCCGATCATCTTCCTGCAGAGAGCAGTGACTGCCAGTCACCGCTCCCCACAGGGATTCCTCCCCTCCCTGTTTCGATCCTCCAGCGCTGACTGCAGGAATGGGAGGGGGCAGGTACAGCTGGCTCTGCCTCTCGATAGCATTGTTGGGATCTGTCCCGGCTTTGGTGGTCTCGGTATACCGTTAGCTGTAGCTCGCTATATACTGAGCTTTGGGTTACGTGAGGAGGTTAGTATAAGTCCTCCTGTGACCCTTAACGGATCTAAGGGAAAACACCCCATAGTTCTCTTTTAAAGCTGGGAACCTAGACAATTTTGGAGACCCAGCCCAGGGGCTTGATCCCTTTCCAACTCTAAACAAACAAAAAAAATCTACAGATTTCTGTGTTTTGGGCAAAGTGGCATTATATTTTACTGGGATCTTTATTAAAAGGTAAATGTTTTAAACCCTCTTTTATGTGCATAGTTTAAAAATATATGCATGCATGTGGAGGTTATCGATATATAATTATTACACATGCAGGATTTGCTTCCTACTCATTATTACTGAACAGTGACTGTGCTAATCAGTTCCTGCCCCTAAATACAAGTCTGTGGGTCAGTTCTGACCTAACTGACAACCATAAATGTCTGAAAGAGTAACTACAGATGGTCAACAGCAGTTTACAGGGATATTCTCTCATTCCTTTATGTTTAAATGACTGCTAGTGGGAGAGCTTATAAAACTCTTGAAAGATAATTGGAATCTGGAACATCTGTGTAATGAAATTGTAAGAAGTTGCATGAAAAAATACTTTCTGATAGATGTTACAGAAGTGTGTTTTTTCCTGGAACCGCTGCCTTCACTGTGGATGACGGATACATTTTAATATTATAGTCTATTAATGTTACATGAAATAATAATGTAAAGGCATGCATATGAGTGTTTTTTGTGACCTTTTTATTAAACATATATTTCATATTGTGCTTATTTATACATTAGATGTTCATTGTAAAACTAAATGTCTGTCTACTTTCTGCTACGTTGGGCCATTTGATAAGTATACAGTAGACATACTTTTGCATGTTCATTGTATGTATTTTGTTTTGCAGGTCCCATCAAATGTACTATATGTTTGGTTTCCTGTTTCTGGTGTTCATAATTCTGCTGATAACTTGTTCAGAAGCTACCATCTTGCTGTGCTACTTCCATCTATGTGCAGAGGTACTTTGGCCATATTCTATGTTGTGTGCTGTTGAAGGAGATTTCCCCCCCCAAAAAATTGATAGTTTGATTTGGGGTTCCCCGCAAGTAACAACATAGGGAGGTCTCCACAGTCCCCTTTTTAAAGCTCTCATCTCACAATTGCTTATGTTGCTTAGTGGGCTAGATTCTTGTCAGTTGAGTACATTTTCACTAGAGAACTGTTGTATTGTATAGTCTCACTGCAGTACAGATCTTTACTACTTAAAAGGGTCTTGAATAAATATCTGGTTTTCCCGAAAAAAAAATGTGGTTCTCTTACAATAAGACTAGACGCAGCACTTTTAAAGAACTGATCTCTGGAAGCAGTGCCCCAAAAAAGGCAAGCATAGGGCAAAAGACTAGTTGTCCATATTGCCTGTAGTCTCCCTATCGCTGATCTTTCCGTTATTACTGACATACTATGCAGTGTTCTGCGCAGAGTAGGCGTGTAGAGGCAGCCATCTTGGTAGAGACAGGGCTTTGGGGTAACCACTGTTTCCTTCCCTCTGCAGCCAGTGTATGATCTGTATTGCATACACTGCACTGCAGTCTGGCACTTAGCATCTAGAATAATGCTTGCAAATGGCAAGCACACAGTGATAAGCATGGTCACCTGACCACACTGTCCAATGAGAAGAGCTTCTTGCTAAGAAGCGCTTTTCATTAGGGAGCAAGGTCAAGTGATGGTACACCAGTTGTTGTGGATCCCCCAAAAGTATAACTAACAGGGCAGAGGGGACAGATTTGTGGGGGTCATTTTCAGTTTCTCATATTTGATGGGAAGTGGAATTTCTCTTTAAGACATATTTTATTAATTTTTCACAATTTCCTTTCAGGATTACCATTGGTGGTGGAGGTCCTTCTTAACAAGCGGATTCACTGCTGTGTACCTTTTTATCTATGCTATTCATTATTTCTTCTCCAAGCTCCAAATCACAGGAACTGCAAGCACCATTTTATACTTTGGGTACACGATGATCATGGTCTTAATTTTTTTCCTGTTTACAGGTGGGTAGTAATTCTAGACAGTTCCCAGAAATGTGTTTTGTTTTATGTATGTTTCCTGTTTGACGGGATATGAAGATGTGCAATAGACAGTCAAGCATTATCTGTTTCAGTGAGTTATGAAGGTTTATATATTAAAATAAAGGGCACAGTGCTCTAATCCTTAGCAACCAATCACAACTCATCTTTTACTGATCTTGGTACAGTAAAAAAAACAAAAACATTGTGTACAATAACACTGCTTTTCACACTTGTATAAAGTGTACCTGTCACAAGAGAAATATTTGGGCTGTTATTGCTGTCCTTAATTTGAAAATGTTGATTTGCCTATTTGTATCTGGCTTTAATGTAACAGCTAAACTCCTTGCCCTTTCTGGAACACTGTAAGGCAGGGGTGCCCATTGGGTAGATTGTGATCTACCAGTAGCTCTCAAAGCTGACGCTGGTAGATCACGAAGGGTGTGAATGGCGGCCCCTTTATTCCATTTTGGTATATTTATTTAGCTGTGCACACATGATTACCTATTAGCCTGTGTCTGCTGAACCAAGCATCCGTGCAGTGTGCTCTCCACAATTCCCTTTTTCCCCCTCCTCCTGCACTACTGGTTCCCCCGCAGTCTTTACTAGCAAGAGACCAGCATCTTGGCTTCAAGCTGGTCTCATCACTGGCTTTTCTCTTCCGCAAAGTGAGTAGGGAAGGTCGGTAAAAATGCCTCTTATGTTTACCAATCTCCTTTTTAGTTTGTGGGTGAACACAAAGAATATCAGTATTGGGCATGTATGTGTTCAATGTTGGAAAGTACCATGCGGTAGAGGAGAAAAAGTGTTTGTGTCCCTGATTTCTTTTCTTTATCACAAAGCGGAAACATCAGGGGGTCCTGAGACCCATGATCTTTCTCCAAAGAGATCCATGCACAATTGGCGTATGTACTGTCACCAGGAGGCTTTTCCTCTTCTGGCAACAATACTTGAGTGTAAAAAATAAATAAATATTTAAATAAGATATAACTGCTTTAAAAAAAAATATACACACACACACACACACACACCATAGTGCACTACATCCATTGCTGTAATGAATTGGTGCACTGGGGTGCCATTACAGATTTGCAGTTTTCGCCACTTTACAAAAAGGCACAATTTACAAATATTTGCTATTTATTAAATCAAAGTGTTATGCTTTAGATTTAATAGGAATTTTGTAGGTTATAATATCCATTTGATAAACATTTGTGCAACGATCACAGAACGTACAAAATCAGCAGCATCATCTTTTTGGTCTGGCCACCACAGGAAAAAAATGGAGAGCAAGATTCTGCAGCGAAAAGGCTAGAGAGATTGTTTTTGGTTTATAGGTTGTTTGCTGAAGGATATTCTCAAAGGGGAAACCCTGGTGTTTTCCTATTCTTTGCTAGATTGTCCAGCTCTTGCTTTATAGTACCCTGTCACTGACAACAATGGCAAGATTCCCTTTTTCTTGTCCACCATCATCTGCAGTGTTTATACAGAAGGGTGTTTTATCTACAAACAGGCAAGGTAGTTCAATTGCTTTAGTTGCTTTGACTACTAGTTCCCTTGTAGAAGCACAGTAAATAATTGCATGCATAGCCAATTTTTTTTTCTTTGTAGAATGTTGGTAAAAAAAAAAAGTCTGTCTTTGTGTTCAAGAAAGCCCACTTCATGGAAAAATGTAAATGTAATTCCAATCTGCCATGAAGACACAGCGAGGCAGTTGTCTGCTGGTGTATGTTTTTACTTGCCTAATGTATGTTTAGACAGATCCAACCTTAAGCGGCTCTAATTTAGTGCTCTTCCTGCCAGTGTTTCAAATAGAGCTGGAGACAAATATAGAAATCCTTTATTACTGAATTGTGGGTAGATCAGTTAAGTGATTTTACAAGTGCATCCTGAACTGCAGCACTTATAACAATCTATATTGACTATAAACATTATTCCTTTATTGTACTGGGTTTATTCAGAAATAAGGTGTAGAGAGCAGTAATGTGTTGTAGTAGCCCATAACAATTCATTGCAAACTATCTATTACATCTATGTACCTGCAGCTTCGGAGCAAATCACATTTTGCAAAGCAAGAAACTAGGAAAGGTAGACACAAATATTTTTTATGTAAACTCTTAACAATAAACTGGTCTGTTAAATTTAAATATAGTGTTCCAGTCCTTGGGATACAACTTTGCTTACCCATAGATACAATAAGTGAGTGCTTCCACTCTGAACTGGAAGTGTTACCAGTAGGATCACTGGGTGAAAGTATTGGAAATTACCCCTGAAAAAAAACAGCCATTATATGTAAAAACTGGCAACCTAAAATGCAGTAATATTTTTTTCCTTGAGTTTACATGCGTTTTCAGTAATAGCTTCTTGATCGCTAGTGTTATTTTTAAAGAGAGCTTTTTAGAGATTTACAGCCATCACCTGTTACCTTCTAGGAGAGAGCAAGGGTCTATGTGGTCTGCAGTGCAGAGATGGACAGGTTGTTCGAGAAATTGATACCATGAGTACTCACAGAACCGAATAGGTACCTATGGCATTACAACTTTCAGCAAGTAGTTTTTCTTTGCTTACTGATGTCAGAGTTACGTTGTGCTCAGGCTTCCTTTTGCCCTCTAGTGGAACTGAAGGCAATGTTAACATTGCAGTTAGGAGGCGAAGTTATAGGCGAGCTGAGTGTCTCAGTGATGTGATACTGAAAAGCAGAGAGAATATTGAAAGAAAAGATCAGAGGACCTTATAATAAAACCAGGGAGCTAGAATGATCACATTCTCTCTATCGCGATCTTCTTTGAATAGAAATGATGCCATTCGCACTTTCTTACAACCTCATCCTCTAATGCTGTCATGTACCCTAAATATCACTTGGAACCACATACTGTAGGTCTAGCATATGTTTTAAACACCAACACGCTAATGATTTAATTTTGGGTAAACCCTAATGAGTCGAAACATACCTTACCACTTGCCACACTGTGCATCTTGCCACAATACGATCACCAGATATCCAAGCTCCACTCCATGCTCAGATCAATACAGGGCCTAGCAAGGCTGTCGCACATTCCTTTTTGGATTATAGTGTAAAATCAGTTCCTAAAGTTGCAGCCTAATACCTTGTACTGTTCATGGTAATGAGCTGGAGTTAGAAACTAAGCCAGTCCTGTAATCACCTTTTGAGTGGGATTAGCCTTTAAATTTGCTACATACAAACAAAAACTGCAAAGTCTTACAGTTTGTTTTCATTAGCAGCAACCACAGCTAGCGGTACAACTAGGGCTTCATTTTACACTGTTAAAATCGAGATTTCTTTCTATTTCACGGTGGCTGCAGTCACCTATTCAAGTTAATGACAGTTTGACAGTGGCCACATCGCCTTCTCTGGACACACATACGATTGCATGCTTACAGATGCGACTGCTGTCACCTGTTCATTAACTTGAACGGGTGACAGTGGCCGCAACTAAACGGGACATTTGGGATTTCTGCTGCAGGAACTGGTCTAAATGAGTCCCAAATCTAGTTGCTATGCGATGCTCAAAAAGGAAACCATAAAACTTCCTTTACCTTTCTACTCGGGATGTAGCTGCTTTCTGAAGAAAACAAACTAAGATTTTGCAGACCTTTTTGTTTTTTGATGCACCTGAAATATATTTAGCTGATTTGAAATGAAAGTTCCTTTAGGCTTAAATAACACTAAAAAGCACAAGGAAAAGCTAAGTCTTGTGACTTATTTTACAGCCCAATTTCAGATTGTATTTGTGCAGAATTGTACTGTTTGGCTCATCTGCAAAAATATTTTTTTACATACTGATCTGCTGTTTCCTTTTTTAGGTACCATTGGATTCTTCGCATGTTACTGGTTTGTCAGGAAGATTTACAGTGTTGTAAAGGTGGATTAACCAAGATGGCAGCAGTGGTTTAGGTGCTTACCACAGCAAATGCCTAGGGATATGAAGATGCTACCTTGTACAGATTTGAAATGGATGTTGGGATGGCCATACGGTGGTGACTTTCTCCAGAGACTTAGCACCTTGGGAAAATGTGTTTACAGCATTCCATCAAGTTCTTTTTATTTTCAAATACCTGTTTGTAAACTATTGTAAATACTCAAGTGTATGTTTCAGGATGATGTTGAGCAGTTTTCATTTGGCAATATCCTGGGTACACTTTTTACTTTATCCATGACCAGTGATCATGATGTTTGACACCCCATAATGCTTTAAGGCAGAGTACATTATTGCTACTGTGCCTTCCAAATAATATTCATGAGAGGTTTACTTGTACAAATGTCCAGCTATCCATCCATCCATCCATCCATCCATCCATCCATCCATCCATCCATACTATGTTCTGTGTACAATTTGTTTTTTTAATTTAAGATGGTATGTATGATTTTATGGCTTATGTTTTAACACGTTATGGTTAGTTTGCACTAGCTTTTCAATTTAACAATTAAAAGAAGCAGGGTTTTTTTTTTTTTTTTTAAAGCACCCTTTTGATAGTTATAGGGATTGATATCATATTGCAGCTTACAGCCCCGGGACATTTAAATGAACACTTTAGTCCAGATTAAAAAAGTAAATCTTGTAATGCATAAAAATGAGCACATCTACCTGTCAAGAAGGTTAGTTTTTCATTTTAGGAAATGCCACAGTACGCCCCTCCACTCTATTCCCCATTTTTTTGTTTGATGATCTAAGTGCTCCCTGTTTGTGATGCAGAGGGAAATTCCTAAACGCACCCACTGTAGGCGTTTGGTTGCTTTAAAAGATTTGTAAAGCATCAGCCCAGCCACCAATTGAATCACGTTCTGCCTTGAAAGTCTGAACATCACTGGTGATACCAGCAGCAGAAAGAGAAGAAGTTAAGGTGTATACTCCTTTGACTCTGTGAGAGGCCGTCTAGATTCTAGCTGCGGTAGATTACAGAAAGATTGCGTTAAGGTAAGTTCAGTGAATCTTTGTTTTTTGCACAGTTGCAGTTTTGCAAGATAGCTTTAGTAGCTCTAAGATTGTATTCACTTGTGCCCTGCAACTGTTCTTGAATTTAGTAAAGTTCAAAGCAGAAGAGACGCATTTCAGTATCGGTAAACTCTGCTCTGGCAATAATGCAGTGTGGGCTGAATTCTGGTATGATATGAATTGCATCTTGTCCTCTAGCAACTTAGACCCGTGGGCTTACTCAATTTTTGAGCTGTTTTTATTCTAGTAAGAAATTAGAAATGACGTCTTGATAAAATGGTGGTGAGACTGCCAAGAGGTCTTTCTGCAGAAGCCAGGACTTTATTAGTACTGCAGCCTGCACCCATTGCTGATATCTATCAGAGTTTACTTTAAATGTAAAAGTTTCACAACCTGGGGAATTCAGATTGATCATGTGATGGAATGCGATAGCAGTGTTTTACCTTCAGTCAAAACGACATGTTAAAGCCATCAGTTGATCCAGATATATAGGAAGCTGAATGTATATATACATTTAACTCTTTCTGTGAAAGCTGAAATCGATCCTACCAGCTCTAACATCTCAAGCCTCCCTGATAGTCAATGAGGTTGCTGCTACTCCATCATTTTGAAAGACCAATACGAAATGTGGAGGGGAGTGGAGAAGCTCAAAATTAACATGGAAACGTTGGAATTTGCTGGTAAATGTGGCCACCTAGAGCTAATTTTCACATGCAGAGATTTCACTTTAGGTCATCTTTGGTATTTTTTTAAGATGATACATAGTTTGGCATGCCCGGGTTTGTTGCAGGTTAATTTAAAGTTTCTACTGTGAATGAGGAATCAGAAATTGTATACTGGCTTCCACTAAAGTGAAGCAATCTGGAGTAAGAGGAGCCATCTATCCTATTTTTGTCCTTTTGTAATGCATTTCAGAAGAAGTTTGTATGTTTTGTCTTCTTGATGTATCAACCAGAAAGCATTTCAACTGTGTGTAATAAAATCTTACTTTCAGGTTCTCTAGCAAAGACGTAGGTACTGGATTCCAGGTTTTCCATAAATGACAGGCCAAAGTACGGGGCATGTATTTCCAGTCTTGCCTGTGTCTTGTCTTGTGCAATAAACATTGTAAGACCAACAATTTTTATTCATATTAAAATGAGATTGTGAATATTACGCTGATTGTCTGATTGCTGATACATGAAGGAAATGCAGCCTAGATTTTGCTATTGACACTAGTGTTCTGTTGGACTTGCAGACCCAATTCAACCTCGGATCTTTAAAAGATCATTCTGTAAACGTTCAGGCTTAGGAACCAAAGATGCAGACACACACGATATTCTGGGTATATTAAATACGAATGCTAGTTCACTAGAAACGTGTGTGTGTGTTTATATCTGCTGGTGCCCAAATGAGGATCGCGACCTATGCAACAGTCATCTCGTATCGGTGATTACCTTGGTTTTTCCCAATCTAAAGCTGGCCATACACCTTTAGATTATCTGCAGATTTTCTATGGTCAGTGCAATAGATTCCTCCATCTAAGCTAAACTGTGTGGATGGAGGAATCTCCCACTGGGCCAAGCTTCAGTATCTTGCTAGCCGGCCCCGCTAGCTGTCAAAATACCTGAACAATCTGATTTATATGCAGGCATTGTTCAGGTGTTTTGAGAGCCAGCAGGGCCGACTTTTTTTTAATTTTATTTCTTTTTTAAAGTGAGATACTGCTGGATCCACCTCAGGGGCAAGCCATGTTTTAACAAAGTCTTCTTGAAATGAGTTCAGTCTTTGCAGCAACAGGTTGATCCTCTTGGTTTAAATTGGCTGAAAAGTGTGATTTCCTTAAGGGACGCTCCTCTGATAAGAGTTGCTCAGAATCTCAGCTGCTTATGGCTCAGACTGTGGGCAGGTCATATACAGAATCTGCAGGGGGAAGGCGTGGGAGCGTGCTTGTGGCCTCTAGTCAACTGTGATAACTGAAATTTGGGACATAAAGTCTTGCATGACTAGTAAACTCTGCAGCCATGAGAGTAGAGGAACCTACCACACCCAACAGAGGGTAAGGTTTAGGGCACAATGCAAGGCCTCAGCAGATGATGGCTGGGAAGGTGACCATGTTCACTTTAGGTGAGGCAACAGGAACAGATTGAAGATCAGAGTTCCAAGTGGCTCTTTGCAAAGCAGGAGCAGCAGTGGGGAGATGCTTTGACGCTGTTTGGGAGGAACGAGTGGGGTGCATGTTTGAGACTCCCTACCTACTGGATGACATCAATGTTCAGTCCCTTAGAGTTAACACTATCTGTAGTAGAAACTGTCAGAAAGCAGGAATTTTAAAGGTGCCCAGTGACCCATGTAAACAAGGTAGCTCCTGGTGCCCAGCCCAATCAAGCCTACTTGCGGAGTGAGTCTTCAAAGACAGTGCAAGCACTGAGGCAATGCCAGTGGCCCTGGACCTATGAAGCACTCGGAGACTAATTTGTTACCAGAACAGAGTGTGGAAACTATTACGCAGGACTAAAGTCACTTCCACTTCCAGGCTATTCCTGCAAAATGCAGTACAGCGGGGATTGGTTGCTGCACTCCAAAAGCCAGAGAGCTGCAATTGAAGAGACTAGCTCTACCAGCAATGTAGAGAAGAGTGTTCTTTGAAGAAAAAAATCTTGAAACAATTTTAATAGTAAAAATAGTTTTGTATTTAATACAGGAGAGCTGAAGAAAATAGCATCTCAAAGCTCAGAAATTCTGCATAGAACCCACCAGGTCTGTCATCAGCTTCTTTCACCAGGGAGAATTTCTAATTTCTGTGGACAGCAAAGCGGTGTACCTACATGTGCTCGTTTTTCCAGCACACGCTATGCTTTTGCTGTGGGTCCCCTACGCTACCAGTTTGTGCACCCTGCCATTTGGTCTCTGGTTGTCCACCAAGTGCCAGCCCCTGTACTAGCTCTTCTGTGCTCTCGTGGCATCTCTATCATGAGTTAATTGGAGCCTGTGCTTGCTGACCTCATAAGAGAATTTTTTTTTTTTGGGACAATGTGACCTTGACTGTCCAGAGGTTACAACGATTTGGTTGTATTGTGAACCTTTTGCTTGAATCGAGTCATCCTTTTGGAGTATCTAGGTCTAGTCCTGGACATGGCGCGGGCCAGAGTCTTTCTCCCACGGGAGAAGCTACATACTCTTCAATCTCAGGTTTGAGCTCCTCAGTCAACGGCTCACCTGACAGTGTGCTTTTCCATGAGATTTCCGGGTCTGACGGTAGCCTCCTTCAAAGCAGTTCAGCTTTCCCAGTTTCTCTCACGCTCTCGATACCGAAAAACCGGTATCGGTGCATCCCTAATATGAATTATTCTAAAGGTTTTCTAAGCAATCTACACTGGTGAATTATGAAGTACCTACAATTGAGGCATCCAAATAATTTTGATAAGATTAGAACTGCCAGCTATAAACAGAGGGAGTTTACGCTATGAATTACACTGTGCCTGAAATTTAACAATAAATTAATCTACATTTAATACTGTATATATTTTAGGATTTATAGAGATTATCACTTCTAAATATGTTAAAAAGGTAACCATCTTAATGGATATGGCTGAGCTGAGCTAAGGGAAGTTCAGTTCATCAATAGGTAGCAGTACATACTTATTTCGAATAATTAATATACCTGAAAAATGGTAGAAATTATTGTCATAGCCTTTTCCAAAACAAGGTTTGCATCACCCAAAAGCAAAATACCATCATCCATATATAACTAAATGTTTTTTCTTATATATAAGACCTCTTTACAGCTGAGGTCTGAGGAATATCTGATTAACGCTGCCAACGGTTAAATAGCTATTGCAAAACTAATGGGGGTAAAGGACATCCTTGATGAGTGCCATGCTGAAGTTGAGGTGAGGAAACAAACAATTTTGGATTCTATTTCTTACACTTGGACCCTGATTTAAAATGTAATAAACTCTGGCTCGGCACCTGCTTCTTTAAAAACAGTTCAACATGGTAATGCCAGAATATCAATCCTGACAGGTTATTTTTAAACATTGGCTTTCCATTTCATTCTGCAGTCTCCTACAATTTTGTAAAACTGGCAAGAATTAAAGAACTCCAGGCAGAAATGCTATTAACCCTTGCATTGGGGCACCCCCCACTCCCCTGCGCACACAAGGGTTAACTGCTCTTTTTTTGCCTAGGGTATGATAGTATGTCCCTTGGTGTCCTCGTGTAAAATACGATAGATTGGATCTGATGACTCAAGGATTCCTAAACCCCTGCAGAGGACGGGGATAGATGCTGAGGGACTGGTCAAAGAGCTGGCTGGCTCGGAGGTTTAGGTGAGTTTAGCTTTTTTTTTTACCGTAGGCAAAACTATGACTAAAATGGCTGCCTGGAGTTCTTCTTTAAATATTTCTCTTCCATACACCTATGGAAACTTTTCCCTGAGTACAGAACTTCAAAGATATCCCATATTAATGATTAGCTAAATCACTGCTATTCCCAGAGATCTGATCAGGGCATTTCCAATACTGTGTTTAGGTTTATTGCATACTGGCCAAATAACTACAGGGATGCACACACTGAGTGGCCAGATTATTATGACCACCCCATCAGTACTTCGTTGGGCCACGAGATAACTCCACAAGATGACTTCGTTGGGCCGCCTCGTGACTCCACGAGATGTTGAAAGGTAATGCGAGGAATCTGACATTGCACTGTTGCCCTTCTGTTGTCTTGTACCAGTCTTACCACTCTCCGGTCTGCCCTAACATTGACTAGTCGCTGACTGCCACAATTAGCACTTTCAGACCCAGATTTTCGGCTGACAGTCCAGTCTTTAAACACTTTAACAAAAGCTGCTCTTGAACATTTAACAAATTCTGCTGTTTTGCTGATACTCGCTCCATGGCTCGCGCCAACAATCATCCCACGTTCACAGGCTGTTAAAGCGCATTGTTTACCCATATCTTCAGAAAAAAATCACTTCTACTGTCGTGGTAAACAACCTGCTTCCCTATTTATAATGGTTTGGCACTCTAGCAACTTCAGCGTGAAATTATAGCTAATTATAGCTAATTTGCCTACAAACGTCAGGTGGTCATAATAAACTGGCCACTCTGTGTATTCTGCATCTGCAGATCAGAAGCAGGTAAGAAAGTGAACTGAAATCCTTGCAGTGTAATAATAACAATAATTAATACAACCAACCTGAGGAGGATTGTTTTTTCTTAACAAAAGCGGAGTGACAAATTAACATTCCCAAAGGAGTTAAAGTGGTCTTAACAGACTGATAACACTTAAGGCTGGGTTCACACCTAGGCGTATAGAATATGCGCGTTTGTCGCGTTTTCGGTAAAAAAATGCGCGACAAACGCCCGTTTCCGAGGGATACTTGGCTGTATCCCAATGGAAACGCGAGACCAAAACGCCCCAAATAAGTACATGTACTTCTTTGGGCGTAGGCTGTTTTGTATCGCGTTCCGACAGGCGGAAATACGGCAAGGTGTGAACCAGACCCATTGAATACAATGGGATTTAGATGTTTGAGCGTTTTGTAGAGCGTTCGTCGAGCGTTGAACGCGCTACAAAACGTTCAGGTGTGAACCAGGCCTTACTAGTGCTGGCAACATGGTGGGGTTGGGATATCCTTGTTAGTCCACTGCTAATGACAACTTTTTGATTCACAACTAATTCCTGGTACTGATTTTTTAGGTTGTACTGGATTTGACAGAAAGCCTGATGTATCTAGTTCCACACAAATCACAGGTATCATTCAGTGCTTGTGTGGACAAGCTCTTAGGTAAATACAGTGGCAGCTTTCCAAGGTTCAAGATAGCAACTGCATCACTGTAGGTATAATTAATCTCTATAGTGACTGCAGCTGCCATCGTTGTTGGGTTGGACACGGACTCTTCATAGTTTTAAAATAAAGCACCTACAAATGTTTCCTTCTGCACTAGTAGATACTGTCAGAAGGGAAAGAAAAGAAACCTGCATAGAAATACATAGTCTATTACTGCCAACCTGTCCTGGCTCTCAGACCTATGTTATCAATATTTTATTAGTCACTTACCTGGAAAAGGTACCCAGATCAGAAGTTCCAACTTCCCTGGTTGAGTGTAAAAGGAGGACTATGGGGTTAGGGCTTTTCCCCAAAGTTCTCCTTAGGGTAACGGGAGGACACAAACTAGCGTCCTCCCGTCACCCTAAGCTCAGTATACCGCGAGCTGCAGCTCGCGGTATACTGAGACGCCGCAGCTGAAGCGGATCCTGACAACTATGTCTGGATCCGCCAAGCTGCGTGAGTGACAGCTGGCTCTACCTATCTAGAGTCTGAGCCAGCTGTACACGTCCCCTCCCCCATCCGTTCCGGCAGTCAGCGCTGGAGGATCGGAGGCGGGAATCCAGTCCCTCCCCTGTCACGGCAGAGAGCCGTGACAGGATCGAGAAGTGAGCGAACACCGTTATGTGTTCGCTCACTTGCCGATCTACTGAGCCGACCTGTGACAGTCTCATTGTCACAGGTCGGCTAAAATTATGAGATGAGTGAAAAGCACTCACCCATAGTTCTCCTTTAAAGTTCTGTGACTCAGAAAGGAAAGCCAGGCAACTATCACTAACCTAAGAACATCTGAAATGACAGCCAACTATCACTATCTATTTCCACTATATATCACACTATTTTCCTCAGTATAGGTTTCTTGCCAATTATGACCTATTGTTTTTCTCAGAGCACTGTGAGTTTTCTCTACAAAGACCGTTTCCTTTCAGGCACTCTGGGGTTGATTTACTAAACGCAAATAGGCTGTTTACTTTGCAGGGAAGGTTTCCCTTAGCTTGTTGAATGTGGGGAAATTTCACTTTGCAAAGATTCGTGTGCATGGAAAATAAAAAAAAAAAGGAGTTTTGACTGGGTGATGATATTCAGCAGAGCTTTACCTCATTCATTAAACAAAGAGGAAACTTCCCTCCAAAGTGAAAAATCCCTTGCAAAGTGAACAGCCTATTTGCCTTTTGTAAACCAACTCTTCTGTCTCTGGTTGGATTATGACCACCCACCTAATATTAAGTAGGTCTCCCTTTCTGTCAAAACAGCTCTGACCCATTGAGGCATGGGGGGTGATTTACTAACCTAAACACACGCACGCACCAGGTGCGTGTGATTTTCACACAGCAAAACGTATTTATCAACCAAAAAGTCTCTGAAAGCATATTTCCACTAATGCCATATATGGAAAAATCATGCACATGATGCATATATAATGCTGCTTCACAGTTTAGATAAAAATGGTTAGCTCATGCATTTACATTCCTGCATTCATCAACGCAAGCAACACAACATAGAGCTAATTTACACAACATCACCTTGCAATTCATGCTTGTCTTTGCACAACACACCTGCTGGGTGTGTACACACTACAAAGGTGTTTAGAATCCACCCATAGATCATGCTGGGAGGGAACACACTACAGAGGTGTATACATGTTCATGGTGTGTTTATAAGGTTAGTAAATCAACCCCCATGGACTCTATTAGACCTCTGAAGGTATGATGTAGTATCTGGCACCAAGCTGTCAGTAGCAGATCCTTTAAGTCCTCTACGTTGCAAGGTGTGGCCTCCATGGATCAGACTTGCTTTTCCAGCACATGCCACAGATGCTTGAATGGATTGAGATCTGGAGAAAATGGAATAATCAATGTTATTCCCTTCACTTAACAGTGGTCAGAATGTTTTGGCTGATAGGTGTACAGGCCAATTGGACTCATTTTCCAAGCTTTGCTTTATGTAGTACTAAGAGGTTGAGGTGGCACAGGACAGAATCATGTAAATAAAGCTGCAGTACTGCAGAGAAAAGCCTTCTGAATATGGATGCAATTCATTGTGCAGTGCTCAGCATAAATGAACACACCCTTTACTTTCAGAATCAACATTTTCTATGGTACACTATACTACAACATACTCCCACAAATGCAGCCCATTGATTGCAACCAAGATTTGTTAATTTGCACACACAAAAAAACATTAATTTAAGACCATGTTACAAAAAAAAATAAAAATACACCCCCATGAAAGTCATAGGAGCAAAGCTAAATTTTAGACAACAAAATCCTAATTAACAAGAATTCAACTACAGGCGAGTATAATGATTCATGACACAGGTGTCCAGCAGACAGCTTATGATAAAAGGTCATTACTTAACAAAGAAAACCCCTTCCTATTTCATGCTGTCAGCAATGGCACCACATGGAAGAGAAATGTCACAAGGCCTGAGAAAGAAAATAATTTCTTTACACAAGAAAGGTGAAGGCTACAAGAAGATCAGCAAAGCTTTACTGATCAGTCAGAATACTGTAGCAAAAGTGATAAAAAAAATGTAACAAAGATGGAACTGCAACCATCGCACAGAGACGTCCAGGCCGTCCGCGGAAGTTAACACCTTGACAGGAGCTTCTTCTGATGAGAAGGGTTGAAGAAAATCGGCATGCAAGTTCACTGCAGTTGGCTAAATAAGTAGAAAGCCAAACTGGGGTGATTGTTTACGGTGACACAATATAGCGTACACTGCAGAGGAATGGCATGCACAGGTGTTATCCACAAAGGAAGCCTCTCCTAAAGCCTTTGCACAAAAAAGCCCGCCTACAATTTGCCAGGGCCCATGAGGAAAAAGAAGACTACTGGGACTCTGTACTCTGGAGTGATGAGACCAAGATCAATGTTTTTGGAACTGATGGCTTCAAAACTGTATGGCGTTGCAAAGGTGAAGAGTACAAAGAAAAATGCATGGTGCCTACATTGAAATGTGGTGGCAGTGTCCTTCTGTGGGGCTGCATGAATGCTGCTGGTGTTGGGGAGCTGCATTTCATTGATGGTATCATGTACTGCTCTATATTGAAAGAGAAGATGCTACCATCACTCTGTGCCCTTGGTCTTGCACTTTTCCAACATGACAATGATCCAAAACACTCATCTAAGGCCACTGTTGCATTTCTGAAGAAGAACAGGGTGAAAGTGATTCACTGACCAAGTATGTCTCCTGACCTGAACCCAATCAAACACCTATGGGGAATTCTGAAGAGACAAGTTGACCATCGCTCTCCACCCAGCATCCAGGCTCTAAAAGAGGTCGTTCTTGAAGAATGGAAAAAGATAGATGTTGCAATATGTCGCCAACTTGTTCATTCCATGCCTAGAAGACTTGGTGCTGTCCTTACAAATCATGTGGGCCACACAAAATACAGGTGAAACTCGAATAATTAGAATATCGTGCAAAGTTCATTTATTTCACTAATGCAACTTAAAAGGTGAAACTAATATATGAGGGAGACTCATTACATGCAAAGCAAGATAATTCAAGCCGTGATTTGTCATAATTGTGATGATTATGGCTTACAGCTCATGAAAACCCCAAGACCCCCAAATCCACAACCTCAAAAAAGTAGATTATTACATGCAATCAATAAAACAAGGATTGTACATAGAACAATATCGGACCTCTGAAAAGTACAAGCATGCATATGTACTCAGTACTTGGTTTGGGCCCCTTTTGCAGAACTTACTGCAATTACTTTTGCACGATATTCTAATTATTCAGGTTTCACCTGTACTAGATGTAGTAGTTTTTGTTGTGGGGTGTATTCATTTTTGCTTCACCTAATTTGATCTAAGTTATATTATTAACCTTACTTTCATGTAATGAGCTCAACAAAAGTTCTATAAAACGCGGTTTTGTCAAAATTTTGGAAATTGTTCTTGTGTTCACTGGAATACTGATTAGAATCTTACTGTTCAAATGAGTGTACTCATTTATGCTGAACACTGTATATAATTTAATATATTAAGATGACTTTTTGCATTTACCATAGTCGTAAAATCTTCAAGTGTTAGCAATATTGCCATCCTGAGGTGCCCTTTAAGGCAAACCAAGCAGTTATACAATAATATTATCAGTTGCACAAATCAGGATTCAGTTTAGCTTTGAAGTGTGCAAATAGATAAACATATTTTATACAGAGGAGAACCTCCTCAGGAGATTTTTCAGCAAAGCTTGTGAACGATCTCCTAAACTCAATAGAAAGAAAATAGATTCAGTATGGAGTACAAACCACCCTCACCTCACTTGAGCGGGTTGTCATGGATACATTGAACCTGCGCTCATGATCAGTTCACTGTTTTAAAAAACACGCCGTAGATAAAACCTTATAGTTTTGTGCATATAATGGGGTAACAGCTCGCATTTTAATGACAACCTTGTCTTCAAGTCACAAAGTCGTTTAATCGCCTTTCTTAGAAGCCTGGAGGGCTGAGCTCTCTTTCCAGGAATTTCATCTACAAGGAGACCTTGTATTCTGAGTATTTTTGAGTTACATTATGTAGACTGGTAAAAAAATATATAGAAACAGTATTTTTGGTTCCGGGCTGCCTTAACGCAATGCACAATGTATCCTGTGTGTGTGCAATGGTTTGCGTAATGTTTGAATCTGCCCTACGTGTCTGTATGAATACATTCCTGATATGTCACACTAAACAGCAGCAATGTAATTTAAAGAACACTCTACCTTATGTCATTAAAAGCAGTCCTTGAGCTCAAGGGACTTTGCCTAAGATGAGATGATGTCATAAGTCTGCTGCACGCAGGAAGAAGCATTTCCTTCAGTGATCAGACTTTAACATTGCAACTGTAGAGATCCACAAGGTGAGAGGTTGCAGCAGGGGTGGATCTGTCTCAGACATTTATGAACACAGCCAAGAACTATACAGGTGCCAGGAGTTACATGGCCATATCATCTCTGAGCCAAGGCCTTGGTCCAGGAGTAGATGTTGACCCTCGAAAATGCTTGAACAAAGATGGTACTACTCTTTTGGAAAGCAAAGTAAATTAAGCCATGGGGAATGGCAATCAGATAGGGGAGGGCGGCACAGTTGGGTTTATTTTGAATTTTTTCCCTTTTTTATCACTTTTTATTTTTTTTACATTTGTATTCATTTTTTAATTTTTATTTATCATATCTTAACTTTTTCAGGACCAAGTACAAGTACAAGTACTTCCCCTCATGTAATTGCCAATACCAATTACCGATACTTTTTTCCAAAGGGACAGGTGACTTTAAATGGTCCATAGTACAACTACGTGTTATGTACTGTGGATCATGATTTAACCTATTCATGCTAGCAGGGGAGAATTGTAAATCTATTGCTGGAGTGTAGTGGAGGTGTGTGCTGTATATATGTACTACATATACATTACACACGACCAGTACACTATAAGATCATTGAAAATCTATTACTGCAGTGTACGGGACATGTGTACAGATAGAATGCACTGCAGCAATAGATATACAATTCTGCACTGCTAACATGAATGGGTTAAATGATCCACCGTACAACTGCATATTATGTACTACAGATCATTTAACCCATTCATATTAGCAGGGGATAATTGGAAATCTATTGTTGCAGTGCATATTATTATACATAGTACATGTACATATAGAGTGCACTGCAACAATAGATTTACAATTATCCTCTGCTAACATGAATGGGTTAAATGATCCATAGTACAGGGC